TGAGCCACAGCTCGGCTGTGGCTCCGGGGATATTGTGTGTCATCCATGTTCACGTGTGTCTTATAATCTAGCCTAGTGGGAAAGATCTGTCAGAAGGTTGGCACAATCCTAGGTAGTGCCTTGGTTATAAGTACTATGCCCAAACTGTCGAGAGTGTGAAGTGAGTAGCTAAGTAGGCTGATGGCATGGGCCTTTAGGTGTGCATGGCATTATGTGGCAGGCGGAAGTCGCATTCTCACAGGCGACGCCACCACAATTGTCGTTGTACTCTATCACGAAGAGGACCCCTGGCTCCCCTCGCCGATGCAGGAGAGCCACGTTACCACTGATGTTGGGAGCTGGGGGCCCAATCCGCGACAATCTGGATATTCCAACATGTTCAGAAGCATTGAGGATTTTTTTTTGACAAACAGCAAATTTTCTTCTGTGAAGCTTTTTTTCCCAATCTGTGATTGTTTATTCCATATCGGATTGAACTGCGATATCTTGACCAATTTCAAGGAAAAATCTACTGAGTGATGCAAGGTTTTTTTAACGTCTAAATTTTCCCGACTACCACAAAATAAAAAAACCGTAAAGTGGTTGTAGGACGCGGATGGTTGCGATAGCTTACAAGAAGCAGCCATATGACGTAGATTCAGAATAACAGACATACTATTGGTAAAAATATCGGAAAATAGCAGTTTCTCCATTTTTGTGCGATTACACAAACCAAGTCTGCATTACGTTGTTAAATGTAGTATTCAGAACTACAATCAAAAATATTCTCAGAGAATATTACTTGTAGCTGAAAGGAGTTAATCCCCCCATTAAGATATCGCAGTTCAATCCGATATGGAATAAACAATCACAGATTGGGAAAAAAATTCTTTTTTTAGATGTGCACACAATCACAAAAAAAAATCCATCAAGCAGACAAACGTTAGAAATTTTCCAGAACTGTAACTTTTCACTTCCAAGTTCTTTGTACCATAACGGAAATGCTTCATCTAGCATTATGACTTACAGAAATATTAGTTTGATCAGAGCTCTAAGGAGTTTCTGTCCTAAAGGTTGATGGGATTCAATTTGAAAAATCTTGCTTGTGACGGGTGATAGAAGGAACGGCTAAATACCAGGGGTTATGCTTTGACATTATCTGAGTATGCAAATTTTCACGCGCTCGCGCTTTGAAAGTGGGGCGCAACTGGGCTGGCGGCGATTTATTAGGCGGTGCTCATTACTTAGCATTAAGTTATATAGATAGGTTGACGAGGGCATTTCACGTGTACGGCTAGCAAAGCACCCTACTAGCTCTAGAATGTGAAAATTTGAAATAAATCTGAAGAACATATTTTCAAAAAAAATTTTTTTTTGTAGAATTCTTAGGAAGGCTGTTGTTAGGTTGTTAGGAGCCTACAGAAAACTAAAGAGTTCAAATGCTTCAAATGTATAATAGGGAAATCACTTTCTGAGCTCTTTCTCAAAAATTGCTGTGATTGCGTACTAGAGTAGTCTGCTCATAAGTTTTTTTTTCGAGCTGTGTTGCACGAGAAAGTTGGTTCGTATGTGGATCAAAAATATTACGCATTTTGACTCAAGGTATAACTCGGAACCGGCATCAGTCGAGCTATGTTGAACTTGCGGAGGTCGCAAGTGCACGGTAACGTCTTTTGGTTTCGAAAGTTTGTAACAGCCGTTGCTGACATTGTTGCTTTTACCGAAAATGTGTGAAAAAATCCAAAATCTGGGTAATAATGAAATTCCAAAAAATTCATTTTCCCGAAGTTTTTTTTCTGAGGTGATCGAATTCGTAAAGAGAAGCGAAACGTCATGTTACTCATGTACTTTTCATCCGCTCTCTTGCGTCTTTCATTTGATAGAATGCTGGAAAACTAGGTTTCGTACTCAACTGAGAGTGTCGAAGAGCATAAAATGTTTGAATGGAAATGTGATATGATTCAAATTTATGAATTTGACCCAAAAGTTTTTTTTCAAACATTCGCTATCAACAATGTCAGCTGAATTTCACAGCAGCAGATTTTTCAACCCATGGAATTGCAGCTTATAATAGTTTTACTTTCAAAAATTCTACATTGATTGAAAACAATAACAACTGGAGCTGTTCTAAATTTTTTACACTACATTGCAAAAACTATCTGAATATATTGCAGACTACAGTGGCAACTCAACACTGTCCTTAATTTTCCACACCAAATCGTGTCACTGCAGAAAACTGCATCTTTTGGTAACCGCTTAGATTTTGAATATAGAGGAGAAGTGAGGAGTGATTCAAACAATTTAGTCTGACAAGATGTTTTGTCATTTATTTTGATAAACTTTGTAGTAGTATGAACTAAAGATAAATTGGGATCACATGGGATGGCATTGATATTCTATGTATCAAATAGGAAGACCACTTCCAAGTTCCGTTTTCATGAAACCTTGGCATTTGTCGTAAGTTCAATTTTCTATTGTGCCAAAGAGGTTTGAGAAGTGGTCTTTATTTCTTTCCAATCACGGCCTTACGTTTCGTCTTCCTCAGAGGCCTGAATGGTTCTAACAAGGGAATGGTCAGAAGTCGAAGTGGCCAACCCATACAAGCTGCCAACCATTGAATGCAGTATAAAATGCTGACTCTAAATCTGTCTTCCTTATCTGCAGAGCGCTTTTGTGGACGAAATTATAAGCCGTTGAAGGCCATTATTTTGCTAAGAAATTGTGCATGTAAAATGCAAACTTGGCCGTACAAAGCCAATCTCGGCTCAGTGTTGGACCAGAACATGCAACTAGGTAAGTTTATATGACCCGTACCTAGATGTGAGTTGGAACAGCAATAATGTGCCTAATTTCGCAATTTTTGTATACGGTTTTTTTGCAGTAAAGCTGCTCATAACATCGCCTACAAAAGCGCTCTGCAGATACGGAAGGCAGATTTGAAATCAGCGTTCTATGCTGCATCGAATGGTATGTAGCTTGTTTGGATTGGCCACTTCGACTTCTGACCATTCCCTTGTAAGTGTTATCCGTAACTCCAGACCACCAAGCGTCTCTTCCCGCTCTGCTAGTTCTCGGCCTTCTCACAATCTCGCTACCAAATAAAATGTCAGTGTAGTAGGACATACCGGAAGACCACCGCTACTCGAGTAGTCTGCATCGGAAATAGACGGTCGCGGCAGACGAGTGAATCGTAAAGTAATCTTATATATAAAGCTGAATGTCTGTTTGTCTGTATGTCTGTCTGTCTGTCTGTCTGTCTGTCTGTCTGTGTGTACGTATGTTCCGAATAGAAAATTCCATTTCTGAACCGATCCGGACCAAACTTGGCACACATACACTACGGGCCCCGGCGGGTGTCATAGGCTACTTTTCGTCATCGATCGATATCGATTTTATCGATTTTTATCGATTTTTTTGCTGAGTTCACCTACGGGGCTGGGAGTTGGCACAGGGGGGTAATCGAGCATGGGGATTCCGAATACAATATTGGTTTTCAGGATTATCGATTACTTTTATCGATTTTATCGATTTTTTTGCAAAGTTTGAGCTACGGGGCTGGGAGTTGGCACAGGGGGGTAATCGAGCATGGGGATTCCGAATACAATATTGGTTTTCAGGATTATCGATTACTTTTATCGATTTTATCGATTTTTTTGCAAAGTTTGAGCTAGGGGGCTGGGAGTTGGCACAGGGGGGTAATCGAGCATGCTGATCATCCCCAAGGGGGGTGATCAGCATGCTCGAACACCCCTGTGCCAAATTCCAGCCCCCTAGCTCAAATTTTCAAAAAATCGATAAAATCGATAAAAGTAATGGACGATCTTGAAAACTAATATTGTATTCGTAATCTGCATGCTCGATTACCCTCTGTGCAAACTCCCAGCCCCGCAGGTCAAACTTTGCAAAAAAATCGATAAAATCGATAAAAGTAATGGACGATCCTGAAAACTAATATTGTATTCGGAATCCCCATGCTCACTTCCCCCCTGTGCCAACTCCTAGCCCTGTAGGTGAACTCTGCCAAAAAATCGATAAAATCAATAAAAGCAATCGATAATTCTGAAAACTAATTTTGTATTCGGAATCCCCATGCTCACTTCCCCCCTGTGCCAACTCCTAGCCCTGTAGGTGAACTCTGCCAAAAAATCGATAAAAATCGGTAAAATCGACATCGATCGATAACGAAAAGTGGACTGTGACACGCGCCGGGGCCCGAAGTGTATGTGTGCCAAGTTTGGTCCGGATACGGCGGAGCCGGGTAAGCCAGCTAGTCGTAAATAATAAAGCATGACGCCTTTACCTGATGTGTAGCAGGTTTACATAAGTCTTACTCTAATATTTATCATACATAGTTGTATACAGAAGGGAAAAGAGAAAGGGGGTAAAGGAACCGGCTCCTGCCGGTGGTCGGAGGTCACTGCCAGAGGTTCGCTCTTAGGCCAACCTCCATCGTGAGCAGCTGTTGGGTTATATCTGCGTCCCGACAGTCACACCAAAAGTATATTCCAGAAATTTCACAAAACAAGTCAGAGGATTATGAAAACTGCATTGATTTACATGATTTGCCCTTTTGCTTTAATAGCTGACTATCAAATGACCTTCAAAGTCTCGAATAAAAATTATGAGATTTATCGAAAGCCAGGCATACTAAAAACAGGATTGTAAACTCCAGGAATTAACTCAGTACCTAGAGTCGCAGCGCGAATACAGCTGTTGGAAAGAGGGAGAAAACCCGCACGGGATACTGCTTTAAATATCTACTTATCTTTACTCACATGATTTGCCGCTGCATTCAAAAAGTGACAAAGCTTTCGCACCAATTTTATATTGAAATTTTGGCATGGAAGTAGTGCGAAGCCGTAAAACAGTCTAGGAAGCACCTTTTATAGTAAAAGCTAGAAAATCTTTAGCATTAAATTGCACCGTCATAAGAATTTTTTTGTGGACTCAGACTTCACTGAATTTGAAAATATTAGATCTTCTAGAAGCGCCGTGATCCTGTCGCGGCGGCGAAGGCACCGATGGGCGACATGTTGGATTATGATGATTCAAAATTTGATGATACAAAGGTGAGCTGTAGTTTTTCCTAAATACCGAAATTCTCAAAGGTTTTCAGGCCTATAGAAACTTTACAACCAACTGCACCTATGTTGCTGATTGCTTGAAAGTAGAAACCATAAAAATGTATTGATTAATTAAGAAAAAAGTGAGAAGAAGGCTTCGCATAATATACAACGTCATGTAGTCTCACTATCACTTTTCAAACCATTCTCGAATCCGCTATCATGAGCATTGGTCAACTGCTTCTGTTTAGTGAGTGGTTTGAAAATGCATATCCTACTTTTCCAAAATATTAGATCGTCCCGAAAGTAATGTCGCTTTTTTCAAAGGTGCGCCACATCTCGTGGAACAAAGATTTGTAAGAGGTCTTGGTAGCATTCGATGCATCATTTCATTCTCTTTCTAATGGTTGTAATTTTATTGCATAATTTTTTATGGGCTTTTGAAAAATCACCAAAAGTTGCGACCCATGCTTTTTGAGAAGATGTTTGTCATGTTTTACAATTTTTCTATGTTTTTGTAGCAACCCTCGGAAGGAGTCTAAGTGATGCAAGTATAGAGAAAATCCTACAGGAAGCAACGTCATTTTTCTGTTTCCCATAATTCGTCATAATTTTTGTATAGATTTTTATTGGAACCATTGAATTTTAGCAGACTCGTCGCAGACACAAATGCATCAAACACCAATAAATCTTCGGATTTTGAAGCTTACAAAAGTGTATTATGGCTTGACACTATTTTTACGAAGCAAGTGAGCATTAGTCGCCTAAGATTAGCAACTTTCGAAAATTCCGGGTACAGCATGGGGCGCCTTGGAAAACCTGAATTATGATGATTTATCCCGGGAGACTTTTGAATCAGAAACAAAGAACAACTAGTAGAAAGAGGAGAAAAAGCTGCGTCGAATGACACCCAACTTGCTCGCCGTTTTTTTTCTGTGAGGTTTTAGTTGACCAAATATGGAATTTGATAGCATTAAAAAATTGGTTTCAGAAATCCTATGAGGCGAGCTAAAATAAAGAAAAAAATTGCTTCGTATCCTATAGGGTTTGCTCTATTTGCCAATCACTTGCACTTCTTCGGGGAATCAGTACAAAAATTCAGAAGAATAACCGAACTTGACTATGGCAAAAAGCGTAAGTCGTAGATTTTGGTAATTTTTCGCGAATTCACTAAATATTGCGCAATGAAATCATAACCATTAGAAAGACGATGAGATGCTGCATCGAATGCTTCCAAGAGCTTTTGGAAATCTTGCTTCCACGAGATGCGGCGTCCATTTGAAGAAAGCGACGTTACTTTCGGAACGACCTAATATTTCCCCATACGTTCATAAGCAACTATGTGCAGTCAAACAATTTCCATTTTTTTTTTGATTTTGTTATGCGTTTTTTCAGCATGTTGTCTTAATCTGTTTTGGTTACAAAATTCAGGTTGCTGCCTTATTCTCAAGTCGTCGCCAGTCACGACGATCGCTACCATCTGCCTCATCGGACGATACCCGGTACAATATCAAAACGTTGTTTAAAAATTTCTGTAATAGGACGAGTTCTCACGGAGTTCCATTTTTGGAGTAAGTTTGTCGCACTTTCAAGTCATTTAGAGCAGCTTTAGCATTTATTTTCAGTGTAAAATATATGGTGAAGAAAATGTTTTTTTCAGGTCCCCTTCATTTTTCGGAAGGCGGGTTTGGATGGTGGTATGCTTTTGCGCTGCTACGCTTTTCCTCTTCCAGTCATATTGGACCCTTTCCGAATATTTTCAGTATAGGACCATAACTGAAATTCAAATTCGCTTCGAAGCAGGTAAAGGATCATCACTTTCGTGAAGAAATGCTAATTTTTGTACTTTTAGCCCCATTTCCGGCAGCTACAGTATGCAATCTGAACGCTTTTAAGTATAGTGAACTTATACAATACGAAGAGATAAAGGAAGGGGTAGGTTTTTGGGTTACGATAGAATGGAGGTCAAAGTACTGTATTTGCAGTTCGATTATTGGGAAAGAATGATTAATGCAGGGGAGACGAATGCGATGTCGAAAGAGGATCAAGGTTTAATGAATAAAGTGGATTTGAGGCAGTAAGTTATTATTTTACTTGCATTTTACTTGAATAATGTGCAATTCGCCCAAACTATGTTTTTGAGGGGGAGGGGATAGGCAGATAGTCACCATTTTTTAAAAGTACTTGAATAATTTAAAAATTCTCGTCTATGTTTCCATTGCCCTATTCTTGTCCCGTAAATCTCAATAATTTTTTCAAAATTGACTCTGTTTCAAAGATTCCCCAAAATTGCAATCTTTATGCGCATAAATGTAGAATAATGATTGTTTTTAAAAAGTCATTGAATAACGAACTTATTTTTGCTCCAAAAAGTTATTTATTCAACTGACTAAGTGATTTTACCGATTCTTCAATTCTTCAACTTTAAAACGCAAAATTTGCTTAACCACTGAGCCAATTTTCTTGAGCGAAATTCTTTGTTGTTGTTGTTTTTGTTTATAAGTTAATCACATTATACCTATTGTTGCCTACTATGCGTCGTAATCTCTGCCACCGAAAACAGCAACTCGTACAAACTGCTGTATGCGAATGTGGTGCTTTATGTGTTTGTTGTTTTCTGTCCGATTTCATCTTAGCTATCGCCAAAGTTGAAGGGAGCCCGCCCTAGTAAGGATCAAGATTTTGCCGTAATAGATGTACAGCAAAAATAGGTTTAGTGAGAATTTGGAGCAGAAAAAGTTGACTTTCTTTCACTCGAAATGACTTTAGCTACTCCATGCAATAATTTCTGGTAATGTTACCGTAATCAGTACTTTTATCTCTTTTCTAAATTTTGTCCAGCACAATTTCCTCATCAGTAATTCTAGGAAGAAACAATTTCTACCTTATCAGCTACTGTTTGAATTACAAAACACAAAAAATTTGAATGCTGAAAAACAAGGTCTATTGTCTGGAAAAGAATTGAGCGTATTGATTCCCCGCAACTTTTCGATTCGAGAGAATATCAGAATCCTGGTATTGTTTTTGAAAATTCTGGAGAAGGCGGCGGACTGGTCTCGGGCCGGCAGAACTTCATAGGTTTACTAGCTTGCTTACCCGGCTCCGCTCGGCCCTGTCAAAACACTGTAATAAGGGTCCCATTCCTATCCCTGTACAGCCTTTCCCTGTGCCCACTTCCACAATTCATTTCCCGTTCCCTGTGTTGTTTTCGAAATCAGCTTGCCCACTTACCCCCCCCCCCCTATGCCATCTCCCAGCCTTTCAGCCCAAATTTTGAAAAAATCGATAAAATCGATAGAAGTAATGTCAAAAACTAATATTGTATTCGTAATCAGCATGTTCGATTACTCCTCTGTGAAACTCCCAGCCCTTCAGCTCAAATTTTGAAAAAATCGATAAAACCGACAAAAGTAATCGATAATTATAAAAAAAGTAGTAGTGCATTCGGAATCGCCATGCCCACTTACCCCCCTGTGCCAACTCCCAGCCCCGTAACTCAAATTTTGCAAAAAATCGATAAAATCGATAAAATCGATATCGATCGATAACGAAAAGTAGCCTATGACACCCGCCGGGGCCCGAAGTGCATGCTGCGTGCCAAGTTTGGTCCGGATCGGTTCAGAAATGGAATTTTCTATTTGGAACATACGTACACACATACAGACAGACAGACATACAGACATACAAACAGACATTCAGCTTTATATATAAGATAAACAGTTTCGGTTCAGAAAACGAGCCCCATTGAATTTCCCGATAGATGAGCACGATTTGCAAGGAGCCGTTTATCAGCCTGTTTTTGTCAGATGCACCTGTTTGAATACGGAACAGTGCGTCCCAAACAGAAACCCTCTGGAGGTAAGTGCAAATATTTCTTGGCTAATAGCCAAAATTTTTGACAACTTCTAGGTAAACGATTTTGTATGTATGTGTTTTGAAGATGTCACTAAAGGAAACATATGGCCATGCTATCCTACTAGTGTTTGGACGGTGAAGGTAGAAGGGACCATTAAACCTGCTTTTTCAAAATGTAAGAATTTTTTCCAGAAATGCTCTCATTGTTCGGCTATATCCAACACCTGTTCCGATCCCGATCATCACAATGGGACCAGCCATCAGAAACCGGGACCAACGCAACCTTGCCTCTGTCAAAGTATTTCACACTACTGTGTGGTTCATCCAAAGGCTAGTGTACGATTTTTTAGAAACTTCTTCTTTGGAACGAACCAGGATTCCTTTGAAACGTGATATGCGAAAAGTAGTCATATGAATACATTTTATCATTCCAGGACGAGATCAAATGGTGGAATCCAAAAAATTATACGATTTTCCCGGCCACAAACCCTCCAACGACTGTTGTTACCGAAACTGAGCAGGCTTTTGGACTGTCGGTAAGTGTTTCGGTACAAAGACAGTGTAACCATCAGTGAATTATTTTTTTGCGGAAAAGCTTCAAAATCGCATCTCCAACCAACAGCTTTGCCCATCATTTAATTCTTCTTTTCTGCAAAAAAGTGCGCATCAGAAGTACAAATTGCTCGATTGCGCATTTTTGATGGGTGAAGTTATATATAGTTCGGTTGAAATGCAGTTGGGAATTCTACGAGGGAGTGAAAGCGCGGCTTTTTCACTGATAATCCACTATTATGTGGGAGAAATATAATGTGAATTAAGAGAGGGATCAAAGATATCCGGGTGGTACTTGACAAATAAGATGACCGACTTTGAATGACTCCTTTTTTTCAAGTTGTTGAATTGTGCAAAAAATTTCTGAGTAAGAGGCAAGCACCTAAACTTTCAAATATTTACCCACTTACCAGAGCCTAAAAGGGCCAACTCAACCTGTTTAGCTAAAATTTCGTTGAGCAAATGCTACGCGCTAAACGACGGGCGTTTGATAATTGGTGTCGCGTAAGCGGAACTGATCGAGGAGTCTGCGATGGATATTAAAAAGAGCTTTCATCCTTTCGGTTTCTGAATTGTTTTATGGAAAAGAATTTAATCTTCAATATGAAGTACTTGCTGCATCGGAGTCCCTGCGTTCAATTTCACATATGCCACATAACGTAAGCCACATCAAAAAACAAATGCCTGTCATTTTGAGCGCCGCACTTTCTTAATAGGCTCTCGGTCAAATATGGCGCCTGCTTCACAATATATAACTACAGACTTCTATTCAATCACCTTTTGAATGAATTTTATTCTTCAGTCATAAATATCTTCGTTCTAGGAACTGAAAGACAAAGGTGCAATCACAACTCAAACGAAAGAAAATCTGATTTTCCTGGTGGCTGCTTTGCCTCGAGACATTCGACGGAATCTTTCCTACACTTTTAATGAATTCGTTCTTCGATGTTCTTTCAACAGTAAAGATTGCAATATGGAACGGTAAGCAAATTTTGTATTATAGCTTAGTATCTTAAGAGGACGGGGTGGGGGGGGGGTATTGTATGCAAAACGACTTGTGTAGAGAGGCGTAAAAAAGCTAGAAAATTTAGTTTTGCCAAGGCCCACCATAAAATTTCATCTGGAAAAAAATCATCTGTTTTATCTGTTTTAATCATCGGAATCTTTCCTACACTTCAAATGAAATTGTTCTCCAATGTTCTTTCAACAGTAAAGATTGCAATATGGAACGGTAAGGATTTTTTCGCTACTACAGGTTGATACAAGAGGGGGATCGAGAATATGTGTGTGGGGGGGGAGGGCATAGGTGCGATAGTGTGAGAATTTTTTCACCCCCTCTTCACCCTTGAGCCGGGGCCAAGGTGACCCCCTTCACCAAAAGCAGAGAAAAAATCAACAGTGAGGTAAGGTTAAGCAAAGGAGGTATTTGCACGTAAATTGTTTACGTAAATGGAGGAGTTTGTTGAAAAAAGTGCTTGGTGACGGATGTGAGTAGTGGTTTCTGGACATTTTGGAGTTTTTGACATAAAAAAATTATAACTTTTATAAATGAAAATATTTTACGGCGAGATGGTCACCGTTGGAACCGTATCTCCGCTTTCAGAAAGCATAAAATTTGCCTGGGCTACCTTAGAAAAAGTGCCGGGTGAAGGGCGGATGAGACTTTTATAATGGGAGTGCGCAAGTACAGGCTTTTAAAAGCGGAAGACAAGGTGGATTTAAAAACATTTCCCTTGCTTGTTGCTGTTCATCTAAAGAAATTATGAATTTCTTCTTTAAAAAAAATCGTAAATGCTTAAAAATTGTCTAACTCTTTCCGAAACAAATGTTCTCGCATGCACATCTTCTATGGTAATTCCAAAAACAGGCAGGGTGATGTAAAAAAGGAAAATAAAATGTTAAAAAAAATACAAGGTGCTGGTCAGAAATATAATTGTATGCTATTCCAGCAGCACATCGGTTCACTTTTCAGAAAAAAGACAACCAGTGATGGTAAGGAATGAATTATGAACTTTGACTAGGAAAAATGATGAAAAAACACCATGGCTCCCCCCCCCCCCCCTCTGTCGACATTTTATAATTTCTCTACCAAGTGAAACACCCTTCATCCTGGAGGGGCTGAGACCACTGTGACCCCCTTCACCCTGGAGGAGTCATTATCACCTTATCGCACCTGTGGGGGAGGGGCAAGAAGGAAACGCGAAAATCCGAAATTTGGTCTACGTAGGTTCATTTTTTGTCGGCGCATTTGTATTTTAGGTGAAGCGTTTGCAATTGAGAAAGACTTTATATGTCATCAGGCCACGAAAATCGTAAAAAATTACCTCATTTATGCAGGAAACCAATCTCTCCCCCCTCTCCCCCCCTCTCCCTGGAAAAATCTTTGGGACCGCGACGCCGCGCTCGTAAATTATCTGTGTTCAGAGACTTCAAACTACATATGGATCCCGAATATGGAAACTGTTACACCTTCAACTTTAACGACTCGGTAGAGTTGAAGAGCAGTAGGGCTGGTCCAATGTACGGTAAGTTTGGCTTCTGTAAAATATGAAATTTCAAGATTTTTCGACTATTTTAGGTTTGCGTCTTCTACTAGACGTTCACCAGGACGATTACATGCCAACTACTGAAGCGGCAGGTGTTCGTATAGTTGTACACGAGCAGGTAAATTACATTTTTAGAGAAGACTAGCTGGCTTACCCGGCTCCGCATGGCCCTTTCAAAACACTATGATAAAGCTCTCATCCCTATCCCTGTACAACCTTTCCCTGTGTCCACGTCTACATGCCAATCCACTATTCCCGCAGTTTTAGTAATCAGAATGCCCACTTACCCCTCTCTGCCAACACCCAGCCCAGTAGCTCAAACTTTGCAAAAATCGATAAAATCAGTAAAACTAATGGATAATTTCAAAAACTAATATTGTATTCGTGATCAGCATGCTCGATTACCCCCCTGTGCTAACTCCCAGCCCCGTAGGTGAACTCAGCAAAAAAATCGATAGAAACCTATAAAATCGATCCCGGTCGATGACGAAAAGTAGCCTACGACACCCGGCCGGCCCCGAAGTGTATGTGTGCCAAGGTCCGGATTGGTCGAGAAATGGAATTTTCTATTCGGAACATACATACAGACATACATACATACATACCAGTGGCGGTCCCAGGATTTTGGACCGGGGGGGGGACAAAAATTTTTTTCCAGAAGGTGCGTGGCGTTAGCCACGCACTCCAAAAAAATTTTTAGGGGTGCTTCTCAAAATTTTTGTGGGTCCCCAATCTCGTGGCGTCAGCCACGCCCCGAAAAAAATTTTTTATAAGGCTAATTTAAATTTTTAAACAATTCCAAAAATTATTTTAATTGTTTACAAAAATAAACAAGTCGTTTGCGCATTTTTATAATCCACGTAAGTAAATTTCAAAAATTTCGCGACCCGTTCTCGGGGGGGGGGGGCCTCTGTCCGCCACTGATACATACATACAGACATTCACCTTTATATATAGGACTAGCGACCCTACGGGTCGCTAGTGAGTGGATGGGGGCAGATAAATCGAGAAATGCATATGTAAGATAATAACAATAAAACTAATGGATAATTTTGTGTCGAACCAGCGCATTTAGGTTGTGGTGCAAGAGGAACGATAGCAATTGCCAGCCGCTACTGCCATCTCATGGCATTACGCTATTTTTCTTAAAAAGCCCGAATTTTAGAGTCAGTGAAAAAAGGAAGATCAAATTGAATGCTATAAGATGCTATAGAATAAAATACTATCAAACTGATAATTTTTGCTCGGAGCCCGATTATATATACAATTTGGTAATGCTTTCGCAAGAAAAAACGTGAACCCGAAGTTCACCTCTGGAACACTTTTTCACTGATAACGTAACTTTGCAGCTCATTTTCAACCTAATGAATTCAATACAAATCTTCTACACCCAACAGCTCTCGTTCCTCTTGTCGCCACCGGCACATTTGCGCTCATTCGAATGCATCTACGGAAAAAGTTCTTCCATAACTTTTCTCTAATTAAGGTTGGTCTCATACTTTTCTCTTTTTCGAAAGGTTGATGCGAATGCCTACTAGTTAAGATTCTAACAAAGTTTTTTGGAACTGAGGGTAAAACAAAGATGATTTTACAGTCTGCTCTGCATTAAAATCGCTAACAGGATACTGGAGTAGTGCGGAACTTCCCCTCGCTCGAAACCCTACTTAAACGCTGTTTTCCGACAGAAAAGTAAAAAAAAGAATTTGCTGCTCAGTTTTCAGTTTTCTGACAATGCTCAGTTTCCTGACAGAAAAATCCGGTCATTTAAGCACACTCACTGGCACGTTTAATGAGTTTTTCTGAAATCTGGGGGAGGGGGGGGGGGGAGAGAGGCATAAGAATTTCAGAACGAAGCTGCACTCGACAAAATGTCGAACTCTACCTCCCCTCGAGAGCAAAAGTGATTGAATGTTGGTTTTTCGCTGGAAAATCAAGATTTTTTCAAACTTGTTCAAAAAGTAAAATTTTATGGATCTTTTCTGAAACTTGGGTAGGAGAGAGGATGAACCCAAAATGAGGCTCTACCCCACTGAACGTCGAAGGTTGCCGCCCATCGGGAACAAAGTCAATTGAATGCTCAGTCTTTCACTAGAAAGTGAGAATCTAGCAAACTTGTTCGAAAAATGAGTTTTCGTGGATTGTCATGGAATTAACAGAAAAGGAGAAAACTTCAAAATGGAGCTCTATCCCACAGCACGTCGAATATTACCGGAATTTGCCCCCACCCCCTAGCAATCAAAATTGGTTGAGTGCTCCCAAATTTATCTGATCTCGACACAAAAATTGACTGAATGCCATTTTTTGCTAATCAAAATTTTCAGCAAGCGTATTCGGAAAATAACTTTTTTAAGATAATTTTAAAAATTTGATCGGAAAAGGGGGGTAAATCTTCCAGTACTCCAAAGAATGCCAAATTTTACCTCTCGCGGCTAAAGCTGATTTAATGCTCAGTTTCTCGCTATAAAAAATTGAATTTTAGCAAGCGCCTTCCAGAAAAAGGGGTTTCTCATGGATTTTTTTGACGTTTGAGCAAAACAAGGGACGAATTCCAAGATGAGGCTCTACTCCATAAAACGTCGAATTTCACCGGCCCTCGGGACCAAAATCAACTAAATGCTCAAGAATTCTATCTCCCTTCAAAAACAAAATTGATCATACTCGATTTCTTGCTATATGAATTAAGATTTTTAGCAAATTCGAAAAAATGAGTTTTTCATAGATTCTTCTCGATTATGGACGGAAAAGAGAAGGAGTCTTCCAAGATGAGGCTTTATTCCTTAAATCTTCGAATACCAACTGCCCGCGGGACCAAATTAAATAAATGCTCAAGAATCCTACCTCGATTCCAACCAAAATTGATCATACTCAGTTTTTTGCTATAAGAATTGAGATTTTTAGCAAATGCTTCGAAAAAATGAGTTTTTCAAGGAATTTTCTGGACCTTGGGTGGAAAAGAGAAGGCTTCCAAGATGAGTTTCTATTCCATAAAAAAAGTGGATTTCACCGGCCCTCGAAACCAAATCAATTAAATGCTTGAGAATTCTACCTCCTTCAAAACCAAAATTGATCATACTCGATTTTTTTTGCTGTAAGAATTAAGATTTTTAGCAAATGCGTTCGAAAAGAAGAGTTTTCATGGATTTTTTTGGACCTTAGATGAAAGAAAAGGAACCTTCCAAAATGAGTCTTTACTCCATAATTTAACTGCCCTCAGACCAAATCAATCACTCAGATAACCGCCGGGGGCAAGCGGCCATGCGAATTTTGAGCAAGCGCGCACCGGAAAAATAGTTCGTTGATTTTTTGCGGCCCGCTTGCAGAAATTTGGAAGAAAGTTGGCGGAATTAAAGACGAATGCTTGAAGAACAATCGCGGTTTCTTTATGGATTAGCTGCGGCGCAGTGGCCGCATTCTCGCGGACTTTCCGCGAGAATATGCAAAAATTTCGAGGGCCGCACGGTCCTTTGTGGAGGACCGCGCAACCCCCAGGTACTTTACGCTGACAGAAAGTACCCCAAACTTGGGTAATGAAACCATCGATGGTACCTCTGCCACCTAGAGTTTCATCTTTTCTCGGCGTACGCCCGAAACTGCATAAAAAGAGTCCGAGCGCTTGCTGAAAGTTTGACCAGCGCTCGCTGAAAGAATTTTTTTGCCGAGCGCTTGCAAAAAATGGTGTTTTGCTGCCCGCTGGCAGAATATACGACGTGCCGCCCGCTGAAGGTTTGGCCACGCCCCAAAATTCTGCTGACCGCCTGCAGAAAAGCGCGAGTTTGCGGACCGCCTGCCCGGCGTTTATCTGAGCACTCAGACAATCGCTGGGGGCAGGCGGGCCCCGGAAAAATAGATTGCTGATTTCTCGGACCCCGCTCGCGGATTTTTTGCAAAGCAATCAGGACTTTTCGGAAGGCCGCTTGCTGAGTCAGCGGATTTTTAAGAGACCGCCTGCTGAATTTTTTTTTTCGCTCTTATCTTTTGCAGATATATTGCTGAATCTCTGAGGAATCGAGAACTCAGCAAGCGGTCTTCCGAAAAGTCCTGATTGCTTTCCAAAAAATCCGCGAGCGGGGTGCGAGAGATTAGCAATCTATTTTTCCGGTGCCCGCCTGCCCCCGGCGATTGTCTGAGCAAATGCTCAAAAATTCTACCTGTCTGTCCTCGAAACGAAAATTGATTGTGCTCAGTTTTTGCTATAAAAATTGTATTAGGTTGTCCGAAAAATAATGTCGCGTGGCATCCTACCGCAACAGAATGATCATAAAAATAGGATGGGGTATCATTTGATAGAGCAAAGCCAGCTCTACAAGCAAGATAGTTTACAAAGCTACGCTGAAATCGTGCTCCACCTTAAGTTCGAATCCAAAATGTAAAAATTTTTAGATATCCGAAAAATCGTATCTCCGTTCATAGACGTCTTATGGATCTCCAATTTGCACAGGCATGTACTCTCTACACTAGACATTCATCTGTATAGTCCGTGGTATTTTTCCTTGGCTACAGTAGAGAAATAAAAATAGGTCAAAAGTGCGAATACGTCGCGTTTTTCGGGTTTTTTGCAAACCATTTGATTTTTCTTGAAAACTAACGCTTGTCTAAAGCTGAAAATTCATGGTTATACTCCTAAAGGCTCATGCTACAGAATCACCCATGTGACAGAAGCTTAGGATTGTTTTGGCAAAAATGTGCCGAATTTCGTTTTCTCAATTTTCAGCCATGGAAAAACCGCGAAAATGTGCGTACGTGTGTCTCGTACAGTGAGTCCACGCGTGTTTTCTGAACAGAGATATGATTTTTTTCGTTTTTTTTAGATCTTTAGTGCCTTGTGAAATTTGGCTCCAAACTTCATGCAAATCAAACCGGGGCAAAGTCTCGAGCTTCATTTTGTAGAGCTTGTTTTGATCTATCGGTTGGTACTCCATCTACTTACTTTCGTGCTCACCCTGCCACGATTTTGCATGTTAAAATAAAAAGCGACATCATTTTCCGGACAACCTTATATTTCTCGGCGACCGTATTCGAAAAAGTGAGTTTTTCATGGATTTTCCTTGACGTTTGAGCAAAGAAGGTGATGAAACTTCCCCAAGAGATACTTTACTTCACCAGACGTCGAATTTCGCCTCCCATCACGACCAGAAATACCTGGGTGCTTAGTTTCTGCTAGAAAGTCAAATTTTTCCGGAGGCATGTTAGAAAAATGTGTTTTTAATGAATTATTTTGGAGAGATGAACTCTCCATAATGAGGAAAAAATGATTTTTGTGTAGTCCTTCGGAAGACTTCACCGTGGATTGTAGGAATCACTGCAGGCTTGATGAATTTCATGTTTGCACGATGCCGTTAAAACGGTGATCCAATCTTCTAAAATACTGTGCGAAGTAACGAGATCTGATGAATTCAGGATTGTAGATTTGTGAAAAGATATCGGATCAAAAAAGTCAAATACGAGCCGTGACACCCACTCCGCGATAAAATATTGCTTGCATGTTTATAACAGTACAGAATCAAAGAAGGCCAAACGATCAATAACGCGCTTTCTTCATTTCTCCATAACATCGTCAACCACTGTGTCACGATAACAACAACGAGCTACGTTCAGAATAATGACTACTGTATATAGATAAATCGATAATTTGAAAACCTGATGTTTTTGTAATCAGCATGCGCACATATACCCTGCGCCAATTTTTAGCTGCTTAGCTCAAAACTGAAACATATCCGCTCCGCCGCGGGGCCCATAGTGCGACAAATCTCTCGCCGACATAATGGCTGCTGGCCTCTCCTCTCATCATCACTGAGCGCCGTTATATTTTCACATTCCTTTTTCTGGAATCCGTCGCAAGCTGGACCCTCCTTCATTCATGGGGTTAAGGATAGGAGGGAGGCAGGAAACTCTGTCGTAGCGCTTGAAAGGATCCAGTATATATTATAGTAAGGTTCCGCCTCACCGAGCTGAATCCAAATCTGCCTTCAAATTTGAAATCCATTGAAAACGAAGGGAGTTATGACGAAAAGACGCAAAGTCGGCGACATCGGCGACATCGGCGAATTCGGCGACATCGGCGAATTCGGCGAATTCGCCGAAATTTTTCACATTCTACTGTCACAACTGTACTTTTGCCTGCAAGTAAAGAACTGGGACAAACTTGATTTTGCTGGCAGAAAATACCGGGAAATTCACGCAGGTGGACACTTAAAACAGTGTGTGTTCCGCATTTGAATTTATAATTTGGTGAGGGTTTTTTGGGGTTCTTCCACTTTAAAAACATCCTACTTCTGCCTCCAAAGAGAAAAGAGTAGGGCGAACTTGGTCTCGCTGCAGAAAGACCAGGGACTTTATGCGACACTTTTTCTAAGAATCTACGCATGAGAGATAAATTTTGAAAAACTTCGTTAGAAGGTACTTTTGACATTCTCTAATCTTACAACGTCCTGCTTTTGTCTCCAGAAAGGAGAAGAGCCAGGCAAACTTGGTCAACTTGGCAGAAAATGCCAAGGAATCAGCTCGACGGAAAAGTTTTATAGCATTTGGCTTTAAAAAATTTGCGGAAAGATACAGAGATACTTTTATGATTTTCTGTTTTAAGAACGTTTTACCCTCTGCCTCCAAATAAGAGAGCCTACAAAGCTCTCGCTGGAGGAAAGACCATAGAGGTCTCGCTCCATGAAAAAACTAGGGACTTTATGCGACAGAACTTTTTCTTAACAGTTCCTAGCCTTGTAAAACTTTGCGGAAAGGTGTTTTTGAGATATTACACTCTAAGAATTCTCTATTTTTGTCCTCAAAGGGGAAAAGATTAGGGCGTAAGTGGTCCCGCTGGGGTAATGTCACTGTATCTGTAGTTTTGGTCTTCTCTTTCAAAGGACAAGCTTAACGCTTTTCAAGGTATAGCAATGTCCATAAAATCAATTTGGCTTTGATCTAAAGCAGCAGTCCTTTATTAGAGATGATATCTTTGCTGATTTCCAGTTAGATCTAGGAATTGGGAGGTTATGGGAATAGGATTTCTGCGAGGATGGTAGTGAAAGGAATGTAGACGATTTCCCACTATTGAAAGCTTGCTCTTTTAGAGCGAAATATCTTAGTAACATCTTGTTTGTACTATCAGTTTGTCTAAAAAGTAAGCTCGGTCTTTGATTTATCTGACAATGTATGGTACCACTGGAAAGCACAAATCAAGGGGAGTTGGATGGTCTACTATATTTGAGCGCCACCCAATATTTTGACAATGAAATTGTGAGGAAAGTGAGATAGTCACAATTTTTCATCCGATGTTCGGAAAGTAACGCTCCGAAAACGAGTCGAAGTTGAGTGTAAAATGCACAACTGCCATTCACACATCAAATTTTGAAATTTCCAAAACTCCAACGACCATAGATGGTAGATCCAAACGATTTTGAATGCTTCCACGCGTAAATGCCTGACATTTCTCCCATTTTCGGCTGCAGAGCAGATCACAATCCCCATTGTAGTTCGCCATGTAGCCAAAGGATTTATGTATTCAACAGCCATATAGTTCATCCGTGCACTGACTATTGGCTAAGAACCAAACTTGAAAATTCAGAAAAGCTATTTTTTAAAAGTCGGACCATATAAGGGCATAACTGTCATTTTTCGGTGATAAAAATTTTTGACTAAATGATATGTAAGAGTAGAAGAAGGGTAGAAGAAGCTACCTTTTCGCAATAAACCTTAATGGAATAGCTGCTTCTGAATTGTCAGAGAGTTTCGAATTTGCAAGTAACCGAACTTATTTATTAGTCAAACTAATATTATTTATAACTCACGAGTTCAGAAAATGAAATGAGTTCAAACCTATTTACAATGGCTCCCGAACGTATGTATCAACGTATCTGCCCCAACCCACTTGCTAGCGACCCGTAGGGTCGCTAGTCCAGTATATATTATAGTAAGGTTCCGCCGCGGGATCAGAGTGCGATAAATCTCTCGCCGACATAACGGCTGCTGGCCTCTCCTCTCGTCATCACTGAGCGCCGTTATATTTTCACATTCCTCTTCCTGGAATCCGTCGCAAGCTGGACCCTCCTTCACTCATGAGGTTAAGGATAGGAGGGACGCAGAAAACTCTGTCGTAGCGCTTGAAAGGATCCAGTGCATATTATAGTAAGGATTGCGGTAGGGCTTGGTACTCATCCATTTCAATTTAGGATGAAGAACCATTCCCGGATACGTTTGGTTACAGCGCTCCTACCGGATTTGTTTCATCATTTGGACTCACAACGGTGAGATTCCAAATTTCTTTTTGCCTATTACTGTAAATTTGGTATTTTTCCAGAGATAAATCGGGCCCAGGAATATTGTTCAGTTTCGAAAATTTTGGTTTACATCTAGCTTACAGCAGCATCAACGAAGCATCTTAATTCTGCATTTTCTACTCAATAACATTTGATAATTTTTAGAGTTAGAAAAAAAACAATCGCCAAAGCTTTCACTCATTTTGAATGAAAAGTCCAATCATTCCTCCGTAATCCCGGAAAGCACAGGTTTCATTTATAGATTCACGGACTATGATAGCTTTGTCTACCTTTGCATGCTACTTTCTTCACTTTTCGGAAATACCGTTCTATCGTGATCCCGTAGTAGCACCGTTGTAAGCAAGAGGAAATTTATACAGTGATCAGTACCCAAAGCAATCCCAAAATACAGTTTCTCATGGAAGACCTAATGTTGACATCGTACCAAGTGACTACCGTAATCATACCGCATAACACCAATATTGCAATGAGTACAGCCTGTGCAAGAGACTCATGTTGCAATTGCATGATTCAGCAATCATGTTTGCTATGATAAAAATGAGCGCTATGAATCACCAATGCTTGCGGAGTGATAACCAACAAGGACTGGAGATTTTTTGGGCGATAGAGCAATGACCACAAACAGCATACGAAATATTTTTGTTATCTCGGGAGGTGGAAACAGGGCTGTGAAATTATGGATGGTACTGGGAGTTGCAGAAAAACGAAGAAATAGTGGTTGTAACGGTAACTATAAGGTGAAACTAATACTTTTACGCTGACTACTCACACTATCGCAACTGACGGTCTTTTTGATCTTTTTGCAGTTTTTTTGGCCTTTCTTATTAGGTTGGTGGAAAAATAATGAGCGTTTTGCGAGTTTTCACTTTGAGGTGCTATAACTTTCGAAAATCCACATTTTTTGATGCGATAAAAACCATCAGAAGCAGCAAATCTTTTGCAATGCAGCGCACATTCACCTATACTCATATCACAAAAAAACAGGAAAATATGGATTGGAGAAAAAAGTTATTCTCTGACGCCTCAATTTTGAAACTTCATAACTCTTTTCAAAAATTATTAGCATAAACGAAAAGCTTACTAGCCATCAGTACAAAAGAAAATGAAAAGGGTTTGGACAAAGGAGATTTGCGAAAGGGTTAAGGCAAAATTATCACCTTTTTTCAGTAATTTTTCATAGGCCCAAAAGTTGCAATTTATGGAGTTTTTTGATTATCTGCGCACCAGACAGCTAAAATTTTTTGCAACAAAACTTCAACAGGAGGACACCCCTACTCTCACTGAAATAAGCAAAGTTTGACGATTGCTTTCTTCAACAGCCATGAGCCACGGATTGACATTATTAACTACCTTGAGGTGTCGATCTCAGCTTAGATGATCAAAAAATACGGTTAACAATGCATAGTTTAGGCAGTTTCTTCTGCATACGGCATCTGAATTTTCGAATAAATGCCATTCGCGCTTGGATTCTGGCCAGAAAAGTGAATGCAGTGAAATTCTGATTTTGAGTGCGGTTATTTGAAGCTAAGTAAGTAAGTAAGTAAGAAGTAAAAGTATACCACCGACCAACTGACGGCCGGAGCTTCGTGCCCACCTGTTCGACTCAACCGTTTTCCCAGCGCTCTGTTACGCAGCTGAGACTTGGGCCGACACCGTAGCCACGTCGAAAGCTTTAAGGACCACCCACAGAGCGCTCGAGCGCAGTCTTCTGAAGATGACCCGACACAAGCAACATCTAGTCAGACTTCGCAGCACGGGTATGAGAAGAATGTCCCGTCTTCGTGACCCAGCGGAATACGTTGCGAAAGCGAAACACTGATGGGCCGGTCACATAATGAGAAGAACGGACGATAGATGGACACTAAGAGCATCTGAGTGGATTTCTCGCGAAGCCAAACGTCCTCGAGGAAGACCGCCGGATGGACCAGCTGAGAAATCAGCTGGATACGATTCTCGCCCCTGGAACTCGTAGACGCAGCCACCGACGACGACCAAGAAGATCGTGGATGTCCGAAGCGAGGGACACGGATCAATGGAAACTTCTTTACTGGGGCCCGCACGTCACGTGAGGACGGGCCACCTAAGTATCTAAGTAAGTAAGTAAGTATGTATGTAAAGCTCTGTAAATTTCCAAAAAATGAGGATAGAAGCCTGCTTCACCATCATTAGATCGAGCAGGAGAAGATCTTTTCAAAAGTATGCTGAATCTGTTTCAAAGAAAAAAGTTCGATGGAGAAAAGTCGTCCCAAACCAAGGTGTAGAGTAGCGCTCATGATTTCTGCACCAATCTAAGATATTCAGTTTATCTCGAAAACTTATTGTAAAAAATCAGTTGGGCGCGGAATTTTGATTATTCACTTTTAGGAAACTTCTGAAAAATCTAAAGCGCTTTTTTTGCTTTCTAATTTTTGTTTCACACTGTAAAACTCATATTGTTCGGTTTTATTGTAAGGCCTCCAAATTTTTTTTAGTGTTTCATAATTCATAACTCCGGTAAAAATAGTCGATTGAAAAAAATTTGCTCACAAAGTTATGAAACTATAGTGACCGTTCCGAAATTCACTTTAAACACATTGAAAATTGAAGACTCGGAAAAGTGGACCAATCTCTGTCACACGTTCTTAGTAGAAATTTTTTGAATGCTGTTACTGAGCAAATAATTCTCATTTTTGGACACTAACAAGCACATCGAGTACCAAAAGGCTATAAATTTTGAAAAACGTTATGACATAACTTTTGTGCCATCTTTATGATCGCGCAAATAAATGAAAGGATTCTCCTCAGGGCCCGGCACGAGTCGGTTTCTAGGGTTTCTGAATACGAAGTCTCCCCTGCCTTACGGAAATTTTACGAAGTCCCCTCTGACCTACCTGCTTAGAAGAAGGTGAAAACAAGAAAAAATTATTAGTCTGAAAGAAAAGACGTAAGATAAGAGCGAAAATCCAAGCTGGAGCTGAGTACTACGCATGCACAAGACTTTGGCACTAGAGCGCGATATTTAACAAAGCGAGAATAAATGAAGGCAAAAAAACAAATGAAAGGCAATGATATGAAAACGTCTTCATGCTCAAGGATAGATTTTTGACCGGGGAATCCGTCCATGCTAAAAAGATCCGAAACTTATGTGAAGTGACGAAAATATATGCTCCAGACGATCTCAGATCGTCTGGTGGCCCTGAGACGATCTAATTTTGGAAAAGGTATTACTTCACATAAGTTTTCAAATCTTTTTACATAATACTTTCGCAAATAATTTTCTATACATATAGTTCAATTTTGGTGTCATATGCTCCTGTGTGCGCTGTAAACAAGCAATTTGTTTATTTTAGCTTTGCTTTCAAATCGCGCGCACTTTTCGCCGTACACGATAGAGCATGTCAATCGTGTGATAACCAGGGTAAAGCGGGGGGTGCGGCACTCGACCGTCGGATACGACCCCCCCCCCCTGATTGCTGTCTTAATAAGACCCCCCTCCTAAACTATACACTTAAGATAGTATTACCTGAAGGCTCTGTCAAACATAATGGACAACATATCCATAATTAGCATGTCAAATACCCCCTGTAGACAAAGTGTGAGCGAATTCTGAAGATTCAAGATACTAGGCTACCTAAGTGAAATGGTCAAATTCCAACATGGTTAACTTTGTTTTAAAGGTGAATTAGCTATCCGTTTTTGCACTCAAGACAAAGCACTACTCCTTCTTTGTCCACCTCAGGAATCCCGCTTCAGAAGACCTCCAAACTGTGGAATTAGAAGCCAACCAAAATCTCATTTTTCCCATTTTTCGCTTTTGATGGCTGTGCTTTCACCAAATATTACTCAGAGCTAAGAAGACGAATCAGGCTCAAAACATCCCTATGGAATCTACGAGGTTTAGGCTATCGATTCATATAAATATTGTCCGCTAAAAATGTTTTTTTGATATAGTTAATGGCCTGCGGCACCCCTGCGGCACCCCTGCGGCAGCCGCAGGTTTTGAGGGGGGGGGGGGGTGCCGCAGGCCATTAACTATATCAAAAAAACATTTTTAGCGGACAATATTTATATGAATCGATAGCCTAAACCTCGTAGATTCCATAGGGATGTTTTGAGCCTGATTCGTCTTCTTAGCTCTGAGTAATATTTGGTGAAAGCACAGCCATCAAAAGCGAAAAATGGGAAAAATGAGATTTTGGTTGGCTTCTAATTCCACAGTTTGGAGGTCTTCTGAAGCGGGATTCCTGAGGTGGACAAAGAAGGAGTAGTGCTTTGTCTTGAGTGCAAAAACGGATAGCTAATTCACCTTTAAAACAAAGTTAACCACGTTGGAATTTGACCATTTCACTTAGGTAGCCTAGTATCCTGGATCTTCAGAATTCGCTCACACTTTGTCTACAGGGGTTAATTGACGTGCTAATTATGGATATGATACGAATATCATGTTATCGCTATAATCAGATCACCTAACTACGACCCCCTCCCCTTTTGACTCCTCAATACGACCCCCCCCCCTCTGCGGCGTGCCGCACCCCCCGCTTTACCCTGGTGATAACCTGTCCGAAAAGCTTGTGTTCGACTAAATGGCGCTCATTCTTGGTGCTTGGCCCCTATTCGTCAAAACGATATCTCCTTTGCTGTTTGCTTCAAAAACGAAGTCCAGCCCGCTTCCAGACGATCTGTGCCGGGCCCTGATTCTCCCCACTAGCCTCCTGAATTTCTTCCCATGAGACACCATTTTTAGAAATCTTTCCTGGTATCCACTCCTTGAAGTTTTCTTTACAGAAAATGCTTCATCGATTGGATGCACCATACGGACAATGCAGTGATACCTTTCGACCTGAACGATACATCTATAATGAACATTATTCTTCAGAGGTAGGGCAAACAAGTGGTCAATTGCTGAAAGCAATAGATTTAGGGTTGTCACCGAAGCTGCTTTCAAATGAGAGTGCTTGATCAATGTGGCTGTGGAGATCCACGTTTTCCGCTTCCATCTGATGATAAACGCTACTGTAGCGCTACGAGTGTTACTGACAGTATGTTTGTGAATTTTTTCGCAAGATTAAGTTTTTACCATTTTTCTTCGAGGGCAATGCCTTTCCAATCTAATCAGCTCATCTGGTGGGTATCATCATCTACAGTTGGAGTGCGACTGTTGTCAGCCATGTACTGAAAAGGTGTTTGAGACTTCTTATTCAGCAGCTGCATGGCCTTCAATGAACTTCAAGATTGGTGAGTTCTCAGTGGAAAAAATTTTAGTATGAATTTTTGCGGATTTTTTTTGTGTCTTACCACTGAAATTTATTTTCGAATATTCGCATGCTCATCACCTGAAAAGCACAGAATCTGTTCAAGCTGTTTTAAAATCGCGGATCCAGCCTTGTTCCAGTACTTGGCACCGTTTTAGCACCGTACCAGCCCCGTACCGGATTGTTCCAGCAGAGGTCGACCGATTAATACGCAGTGCTCCACGTGGGTTCGTTGCTCAAACCACGCGGATCCACTGCCTGTTAATTGATGGAACTCCGGCGGCACCGCTTGGACACGACGCTGGAACGTCACAGGCACGACCTTGGCACGACACTGCACTGGGAGCTCTAGACGCAGCCTTAGAAATTTCTTCCTTGATAGGAATAAAAATGTTCTACTTCGTAGACCTTTTTGCATTTACCTTCAGAACTATTCACAATTTTCAGGAGCGAGTTGCCCAGCTGACATCTTTAACGATACCGGGGCTTGCACCGAGTATTACCGTGTCAACACTGCATACGTCGAAATTTACTATTTACAGCTAAACTTTGAGACGCTACGAGAGACTGCTGGATATACTGTAAGCACAGACATTTCTTCAGCTTTTCTTATAGTAAACGCAAATGCCCCTACTTTATGACAGAAAAAGCAAAAGAGTTTAATTTGCATTTTCTTCTTTTTCTTACAGAGTATAAGAACCAGCAAGTCCTTCCCAAAACTCCTGATTAAGAGAACTTGTACATTTTTAGCTTATTGATTACTCATATATCTTCTCTATTATCAAAAGTCGTTAGTCTCCATTTTGTTTACAAAGTGAGTAAATAGCCACACTTGGTCAAGAGGCCACTCAATCGTGGGCAGTTGTCAATCACTGCTACTTTACACTCCCCAGGGATCTTCAGGGACCTTCGATGTTCCAAAATGGGGAAAAATTGAGCACGAAAAAGGACGGCACTTTTAAAGATCAGCGTTTCATGTTACCAGTGACCTTTCGAACCCAAACACTGGAATATTTAAAAGATTTTTCTAGCCTTTTTTTGCTTCTGAACTACAGTTTGGAGTGTGGGTATATTGTCATAAGTAACCTTGTTCAAAAGTTCTGAATTGTTCATCCGCATACAATTTATTCATAATGAATTCTAGTGGTCCCAGATTTACCATGTATCATACCTTTTGAATTCTAGATACAGGAGGTTTCAAGACACTTTTGTACTTTCTTCTTCTCCACTCCCTTGGAAATCAAGGCCCCAGATGTTTGAAGGTTTTTATGTTTCAATTTTTTTTCCACACATGGTTTACCGTTATGAAATTATATTGGCTCTGAAAGATCAGCCCAGTCCCTGCAGGCAAAAGAGATCGAATGTGAAAGAATTCAACAAGTTTTCTAACCCGTAAGAGAACTTTTTTCGAAGAAAATCCTTTGCAGATGGTAAATCTCTTCTCCGATTTTGGTGGTAACCTCGGCTTATGGATTGGATTTTCTGTTATTACCGTTTGCGAGATAATCGAGCTGATTTTCGAAATCGGCTACTATCTGCTTTGCATCAAACCTATTCGGTAAGTTTAGAACATACGTTTTTCTTATGAAGAATGACGAAGTTACATGATAGTAAAATAATGGTGAAAAATGTTCTAAGAAATACATTTTGTTACCAAGATAGCTAGTGTTCATAGATGTACCATACTTTGTTTATTAACTTCGTCATTTTTCCTTTGCATGCAGTCCTGAGGAAAGAAGGCTTTCCCGTATAGGAGTATTTTATGGAAAAAAGGACATTTTTGCTTGCAGGAATGTTGAGAAGAAATGTAGGAGGGTTAAAAGGTTGTTAGAGCGGAGGCTACATCTACACTTGCCTTTTTAAATTCTCTGAAATATTCAGGTACCACAAAAAAGTAAAAAGAAGAAATCAAGAAAAAACCCTAACACTTCCTCAAGTGCTGGATCGCCAGGTGCATCAACGCAGACAAGGGGCACTGAAGAATTCAAATCATGCTAAAAAACGTGAAAAAGATGGCTATTGTTGAAAATGTTGTGAAAAATCCTTTTTGTTCTTTGACAACTGTCTTTCTACCTTTTGGCCTTGTAGTGGAGTTTATGGCTATTCGAGAAATTGTAAAAATTCGCTCATTTTGTTGGTGAAAAAAATTACACTTCAAGTTCTGTTGATAGATATGGGTATTTTAGAATCTCATCAAGATCTCAGCTTTCTTTCTTTTTCCTTTTGCGTCCTTATTTTCTCTGTTTGATTCTTAGTCAATTTTATACACAATAAAAATATGAACAAAAATTGTTCAAATATGCCCAAAGACAACTGGTTTCCAAAGAATAATGGTCCCAGATGAGTAATGCTCGCTAGACGTTTCATAACGCTTATCACCCCGACATCGGAATTGAGACGAGACCTTCCCCCCCCCCCCCTCCCGAAGCATCTACAAACATATTTCATGGATGTACACACAAAAAACTTCAACATATGACTCAAATCACACATTTCGCTTTGCTCCGCCTCAGTGTCTTCTTGTCGCACACATTTGAGACATCGGTCCCATCATGTGCAGAGGTAGCTTTTTTTCCTGCTATTTTTACAACGTTCTAAGGGGAACGAAAAGTTATGGGAAAATGGAAGAGGGTTTCTGTAACGGATTTTGAAGGCAATGGCTCGGAAAATTGCGACTGCGAGCTTTCCACACCTATATGGCCTCCTAGCTGCGCTGAGTCCAGTGTTGTGCTTGTGTCAAAAAAATTGTTTTTTACGGCGTCTCCTACCCCTGGAGATAGCTGGAGGGGATGGGCGAGGGATACCCGCCAAAACCAGCGATTGGCTGCCTGAGCCGATCAGCTAATTGCCGCCAAAATGGAGTTGCAGTAGCTACAGTACCCTGCAGCCAGTAGCTGTTTTTGGTGAGTATCCCTCACCCAGCCCCCTCAGCAATATCCAATGCCGGAAAACGCCGAAAAAGCACTTCTTCGACTTTTCAGGCACAGTCTCGGACTCAGCGGATTCAGAAGGCCTCGTATGTAGGTGCGAAAATCTCGCACTTGCAAATCTTCTGAGCCACTGCCTTTAAGCACGCATTTCATTTTATCCCTACTTTTTATCCCCGTGATCTGGAACCATATCAATAATAGGCATGCAAACTAGTCATCTTCTATATAAAGCTGAATGTCTGTCTGTATGTATGTCTGTACGTATGTGCGGAATAGAAATTTTTAATTCTGAACCGATTTGGACCAAACTTGGCACACATATACTTCGGGGCAGGAAGCGTGTCATAGGCTACTTTTCGTTATCGATCGATATCGATTTTATCGATTTTTTGCAAAATTTGAGCTACGGGGCTGGGAGTTGGCACAGGGGGGGTAATCGAGCATGCTGATTACGAATATAATAATGATAGGGCCGGGCGGAGCCGGGTTTGCCAGCTAGTCCCTCATAAAGGGAACTTACCGGTAAGATGCCTGTCACACCAATTATATAATTTGTTGAGGTTTCTTCCTGCTCTACTAGCCCTTTTGTTGCGGCTCGGTGGGCTCTGCGCCCCCTCACCTAGCGCTTGACTGCCTTGCGCCTAGCTCCTGTCCCCAAAGGACTTCCGCCACTGCGGGTGCGCGCCAGCTCACAATGGCGCGTTACGCCTACACTGCACAGAAACAATAAACATACATAAATTTACTAAACAAATATACACGAAAAATACACGATATAAACAAATATAAATATACTTACGACGGGGAGAGTTAAGCTCTACCCCGGGCTCTCGATGGGGACTCTATCTTACTCACACTCACACGCTAACACATTCACACACTCTCCCGGCATCCAAGGGAGCTACCCACAGGCCGGCCGCGCGCCGCCAAGGCAGCAGCTACGGCACGGCAACACCGACCCCATGATGTTAACCAGCAGCATCGAACCAAGCTCCTAACAAATCCTGCGCGACCAAGGCGCTTCGTGATGTTCATCATCCTGGAATTCTATCCTCGCGCGTACATCCAAACAATCCATCAACGATCCATCCAATCGCGCGAGGCACGGGGACGTAGACACGACGGCAATATCGTGGAAACCCAACCGATCAATAACAAAGGCGGCACGACGATAATAATAAGATGATGAGACGAGAGAGACTGCAATGGCGCGCGTACGCGCTATTTATAGCGGTGGCTGGGGGCGTGCCTACGTGGTGTGGTCTCGGAGCGAACAAGGTAGCCGCTGTAAAGCGCGGCGACCGTGCTCACGACCGAGACGCGCGGCAACACGGTGCTCCCGGCCACATGCTGTGAGGAGCGGTCGATCGCGAGCCGCGACACCTTTCTTGTATTCCACAACAAATTATCATAATGTTAAGTGCGCTGCAAAAGAATTATTATTCTACTTGTTGGTAGCATGCAATTCGAGAAAATAAGTACAGTTAAGACAGTAGAATGTGAAAATCCTCGCCGACTTCGTCGAATTCGCTGGCCAATTTCGCCGAAAAATCTCACATTTTAAGGTCGTAACTGTAGACTATACCCTCCCAAATAATTTTCGCATAGATTTTTTTTAGTTTGTCCTATTGTCCTTCTTGCTCATTGTATAAAATTACTCTAATCAGTAACTCTTTCCGAAGCTCATCTTCTTACCGCGTACCAATTTTCTTTTGCTTTTTTAAAGACGAGGAGATTTGCCACTTTTGTGCTAAGTCCTCTTTAACATGTTTTGTTCATCCAAAATTGTCCCATGTTCAATGAAAAAGTTTAGACCCCCCCCCCTTTTTTGAAAAGATAATTTTTTGTTAGTGGTCTCGCGATAGTCAAGTGTTCAGAAAATTATATGTATGTAACTTTCAAGTATGGTCTTGTGGTATGCGTAAGAAAACTGGTACTAATCCGAATAAAATTTGAAGCTCTTTCTGGAGTATGGTAGAGAATTGTTTTTGCCAAACTTAACTTTTGCACATCCCCGTACATGGAGAATAAAAAGGCAAAAAAATGCAGTTTTTGTTTCTACTTACTGCGCTGAATCTCTTTTATTCCAGGTATTCTACTGCTGCTCTCTGTCCTATGTATCATCTATTCTACGACTAGGAGACGCGTGACCGCATTGCTGACATTGTCTTAACATGTTTGAATTTCTTCTTCCCTGTTTCCAAAGAGTGAATAAACGTGGGCGAGATAAATGACAAGTGTAAACCTGCTAAGTACACGATTAAGCTTGTTTAGATAATGTGTGCAAAGCGGTCTCGCGTCTCCTCGTCCTAGAATGAATGATAAGTTTATCTCCAACTTAGAAAAACCCAACTTCGATATGGCCTACTACCGTTGTGTACAGATGCTTTTTTTTCGTTCTCTTTTAGAGATTGTGGAATAATTTTTGTTATCTCCCAAATGATTCTGATCGCATTTGGTGTAATAAGGAAGTTTTATGACATGCCCAATTTGAGCCAACGAAAAAAGCTAATATGCAAGAAATGAGAGAAATGCTTGTGCAGCTGTACGTTACCTAGGTTGTGAAAATTTGAGAGAAACTTGTTCTTTCCATGAAATTTTTGGAACCCTTTTTTCCAACAACCAATCTTTATTATCACGCTTCACCGGAGGGGATCTCACCCTACCTCTGTCTATGTTTGACGCCGAAACCACCTAACCAAACATGACGTTTGATTCGTTACCGTACCTGTATGTGAGTTCCGACAACCAAGATGATCTACTGAAGAAGATCAGATTCTATCTACCACGTGAAGGGCAGGACACTTCCCTACTGGCTTCAACGAATTTTCCTATTTTTAGAGCTTTCTCCAACTCGTCTATGAGGATCACAACAATCATAGATCAGGAGAAACCCTGCTTTGGCGAGGGTGCAACTTTGTCAGTGATCAGTAAGCTAACGAAAGCTGAGGCGTCTACGCTAAGATCGATACTGTATGTGACTACTGTAGCTCCAGGTTCGTGCAGTTATTTCTTCTTACATTCACCAGTATAGTATTTGATTTACCCTAAAATGAAAGTAGAGCCCAGGATCTCGATCTCTAAAATACATACTATTTAGGTACTAGATTTAAATAAATAAAGTAATTAAATAAACATAAAAATAGAATACTATAAACTACGTGTACTTACCGCGCTTAAATCAACTCAACGTTTACGCGGCAGCTCACACAATATTTTCGCCTGCCCAGTACAGAATTCACGACTTCTGCACTGAAAATACGGTACTGGGCACTTAAGGCTGAACACCCCATCTACTTATGAATAAAATGAGCTAATTGGGGATAGGCATTACAAAAACACCTCAGTCCACAAAAGAAGTTAGGTGCTAAAGCGGACAAAACTTGTTGTGGCTCGGTGGGCTCAGCACCCCCTTGCTCGCTCGACTGCCAAGACAATCCTGCACCTACTACTGCACACCCCAGCGCCGGTTGGCCATTCCGGCGCGTCCCACACAACAACCCCGCTAAACAGTAAATCATAACAACAAACGCGCGACTAGATTACTTAAATTTATCTAAATAACAAACACTACACTACAAGAGAACTATACTATGAAAATCTAAACTACGAAAAAGGAGAAATGCGGGACGAGTCCGCCTCGTCCGAAGCCGCCGATCATCACCAAGTTAAATCTAAGCGTAATGTCAGGAAATCCCGAGGGTCGACCGCTTACTTGCCTCGCGTAGGACAGGTACGAGCCCTCTCCACTCCCGGTACAACTTTGAACAAAAGCTCCACACTTTCCTCGCGCGTTAGCGCGGCATAATACAAAAGCTCTAACAATCACTCTGCTCGCAAGAATTTCGTCCACGGGAGCTTGCTGGGGTAGCTGCCAAGCACGATCGATAAGAATACGTGAGAAATCAAACGAATTTGAAAACGAGGTCACCGAAAACAAAGAGGCATAGGGCGCGCGCTGCGCGGCCTTATATACCCCTAGACTTTGCAACGCGCCCAGCGAGGAGAGGTCGGCCGCGAAAGCAATAGCGCGCCCGATCCAGCGGCTTGCAGTGCTCCCGGCACCTGAATCGAGGAGAGGCTTGCATCGCGCGAGCCGCGATAAAACTTGATTTGTCCATTCTGCTTCAAACTCACAACTCGCATTTTTGAAATTCTCTGAATAAGACATCTTTTTTTTATCAAGAAAACGTGAATTTCTTTATTCTTTTTCAAAAGCAGCTAACCGTGTCTTCTACGCTTGGAAGCTAACCCCTACCGGGACCATCTTCGCTTTCAAATCGGCCACCACAGCTGTTTTTCTCAACGATGCTCCTTCTAAAGAACTTTACTTTCCGATTTCAGCTTGAACCCGGTTGAAACCGAATTTTTGAGTCGAAAAATTGTCAACGTTTGAAAACGACTTTCTTACAGGACGCTGAACTGTCGATAATATCTGGTACTCCTAGTGGAATTGTGCAAAGCCCGATTGCCACGTACAAGTGGGTATAACTTAGTCAATTTTAAATTTTTGAATATTTTTGAGGGGTGTAAAACTTAATGAACTCTTTCTCGCGCACAATTTTTTTTTCGAAAATTCGCTCAACATTTAGGAGCGAAGGTACACGATGACGTGTAAAACAAAAGATCCTTGTTTATTCCCGGTCAAAAGAGAAAAATTTGAAAAAAGTTGAAATCGAATTTGCTCATTCATATACATTTAGGAACGACAACAAAACCATAGATCCCGTTATTCTCATTCAACGCGCATTTACCATAACAACCACCGGAAAAGCACAATCTTTGTTGAAAGAAAATGCATCAAAAGGTTCCGTAACAAAATACTTCTGAGCCGGTAGAGTAAAATCATTTTTTGGAAGACGATGAAGTGAGGACGACACCGGCTATAGGTTTCTTTTATCTTCAGAGTATCCGCTGAAGACTGGAGGGGCTTCTGAGAAGAAAGTCACCTACAATAGAAAAATGAATTTCACAGTGAATGGCACAGTGAATCTGAATGATGGCGAAATGCTAATGTTGTAGTTCGTTAATGTCAAAAATGCACCTATGGGCGTAGTGAAAGAGCTGACGTAAGTAAGGGCTATTCCCGGACAATGATAAATGGTTTACCTTTGCGATGCGGTCGCGAATGCGGCTGTTGAGCACCTATCATCACCTATCACCTATTGGAGTGCACGAGGTCAAAGTCTCGGAATCGATTTTTGCCTGAGCGCCGTGCTCGCGTCCGCCTCGCTCGCATAGATATATTTCTTCGTCTGGGATAGGAATATAAACGCTGCACTTAAATTTGAAAAATTGCTATTTTTTAGGTACACCAAATCTGGACCAATAGCAGCGAACGAAGTGGCGAAACGACTAAAAATTCGACCGTCATGTAAACAAGCTGGAGCGTTTCTGATAAATTATGCTACAGAGGAGTCAGGTACTCAAAGCCCCAAGTCTTTTGGCATTTTTGTGCCGGTTTAGAAGCTTTAGTCGTGGATGCGGCCTAATCAAAAGATCAGAGGATCACTAATTTATCGGACTAGAAAGACTTTGGGGTTTTTAGGCTATGAACAAATCATTGACCTCATTTTTTCAGGCTTACCGATAGATCCAACTAAAGGACCCACAAGTCCGACCGTTTTACCACCATCGGGTAAGTGTAGTCCATGACTTCATTTTGTATGCCCCAACCAAAATTAAAGTTCATTTGAAAATTTTGTGTGTTAAGATGTCAACCAGCATCAGGAACAGACATTATTCGCCTACTGCATTCTTAGCTTATTGAGTGCCTACTATTAGGTTGTCCCAAAAGTAAACTCCCTTTTCTAATAATTCAAACTGTTTTTGTTTTCCTAGTAAATTTAGGGTTTCACTCGATGGAGCAGATCAAGCTCAATAAAATGAATACCAGGGTTCCGCTTAAGTCGCATTCTATGTAAAGTTTGAAGCCAAAAGAAAAAATCTTGTTACCTGAAAATTGGATTCTTGCGAGACAAATTCCTACACTTCATATTGGTCATTATACAGTAGGCACGTAGTATTGCTCAAGCATGCCTTTATTGGACTTTTCCCGCGCGTGTAAAGCGGGAAAAAAGGTAGTTTAAAAATGTCAAACTCCACCCCAGCCCCTCCCACATATGTCATTGTATACTACAAGCCCTATTAAGTCTAATCTTAAACATTTACCCTTGTATGTGATCTTACAATCGAGAAGTACGAAGTTTTACACGAAAAACAAAGTGACATTTTGGCATTTTCAAACGATCTTTGTTTCTTAATTTTGAGCCCCGGAAAAAACCCACATATATTTGTAGGCACTACATGTGTCTACTATGTAAAGACCAAGTTGGACGTCCGCAGGTCTCCTCTGGAAGGATCCGATTTTTAGGGTAGCTGAAAAATGATTTTTGGCTCCAAATTTCATCTGGGTTACAACATAGGTAGATCTTTGGTGGTCTTTTTGTAGAGCTTGCTTTGTGAATGATGCAATTGAAGATGGAGTTTACTTTTGGGACAACCCAATAGAAAATTACATTCCTGTTTGACCGTGATTTTAAAAAGGATAAAGTGGGAAAGATTTTTATTTCTTAAATATCGACTTTGCTCTCCCGCAGATTTTCGTAACTTCAGAGAAGTGAAATCAAGGATGTACCAAATAATAGGGAACTGAACACATTAGTCGGGAAAATTCGCAGATCCCTTGATATATTTCAATTTTTACAGGCCGCACATCAAGTGCACCACCTGACAAGAAACCTAAAGGTTTGTAAGTTTTGTGCACTCGATACAGTTTCAAACATTCACAAACTTTTCCAATTTGTGTACAACTTCAACTGAGCTCCTTTAGAAACCACCGGATTTCAATTACAGACAGAAACTCTCATGATTGTTTCTAACTCATTTTCGATAACATAATATTCAAAAAACATTGGTGACTCTCTGTGTTGCGGCTCGGTGGGCTCTGCGCCCCCTCACCTAGTGCTCGACTGCCTTGCGCCCAGCTCCTGTCCCCGAAGGACTTCCGCCACTGCGGGTGCGCGCCAGCTCACAATGGCGCGTTACGCCTACACTGCACAAGAAACAATAAATATACATAAATTTACTAAACAAATAAACACGAGAAAAATACACGATATAAATAAATATAAACATACTTACCACGGGGAGAGTTAAGCTCTACCCCGGGCTACCGATGGGGACTCTAGCTTACTCACACTCACACGCTAACACGCTCACACACTCTCCCGATATCCAAGGGAGCTACCCACAGGCCGGCCGCGCGCCGCCAAGGCAGCAGCTACGGCACGGCAACACCGACCCCATGATGTTAATCAGCAGCATCGAACCAAGCTCCCAACGAGTCCTGCGCGACCAAGGCGTTTCGTGATGTTCATCATCCTAGAATTCTATCCTCGCGCGTACATCCAAATAATCCATCAACGATCCATCCAATCGCGCGAGGCACGGGGACGTAGGGATCGGCCATACTAATCCTGCTATTCCTACGACTCCTGCGATTCCTGCGATTCCTGTGAGTCCCGCACAGTTTAGACGCCGCTTAAATGAGCGCGTGTTGCGTAAAACAACACGTAACACGCAACACGCGCTCATTTAAGCGGCGTATATACGGCGCCGCCGTAAAGCGCGGCGACCGTGCTCACGACCGAGACGCGCGGCAACACGGTGCTCCCGGCCACATGCTGTGAGGAGCGGTCGATCGCGAGCCGCGACACTCTGGAAGTTTAGGAAAAGTGATAATTCCAATGGTCATGAAAAATATCAAAGTACGGAAAATTGCCGCTTTCTGGAAGGAGTCACCACAGCGATTGTACCTCCTTGCCTGCTACTCTTCACGACAGCAATAATCCGATGATTGAGAATATATTCATTAACTCCTGTAAATGAAATTCCCAGTTGTTGTATTATACATCGATGTCTGTAGTTGAAGATATGTGCGTTTTAGAATAATCCTTGTTAAATAAAAAATTGGCATCAATTACGATCAATGCTTCAGCGCAGCACAATTTCGAGGAGAAAAAGCTTTTTTCTTTCAGAATTATTTTTGGGGTTACGGTAAGTCCCTGAGCGTGCATTTACAGAAGGATATATCATGCCGATTACCCCTCCCACGCATGGTCTAGCAAACAATAAGACTTCGCATTTTACCGTATAGCTACCATAATTTTATCGAAGACCTAGTGTCCAGAATGATTAGTACCATTATCAGCATGCCGCCCTTGCGCAGCATTTCAGAAAAAATTGAATTTACTAAATTTCAATTTTCTATGGTGGTATTAGCAGCATTTTCAAAACTACGTAATTTTCAACATTTAATGCAGAGAAACAACAAATATCGACAAATAAATACATACAAAGCCTATCTAAGACAATTTGACAAGATAAATTGGAGATTACAGATGAGCTCACCAAAAAACGACAGAGAAAGAAAAAAAATAGAAAAACAAGAAGCTCATCAATTATTGCACAAATATTTTGATTTTACAGTTGTCTAACCAGATCATAATTTATGTGATGACTTATACAATACTAATACTAATAATACTTATACAATACTAATAATATAAGTTCAATTTTCTATTGTGCCAAACAGGTTTGATAAGTGGTCTTTATTTCTTTCCAATCACGGCCTTACGTTTCGACGCCTTTCGTCTTCCTCAGAGGCCGGAAGACCACCGCTACTCGAGTAGTCTGCACCGGAAATAGGCGGTCGCGGCAGAAGTTATAGTTGCAGTTTATCAAATTGAGTGCCTCAACTGCAAAGCGATATATATAGGAGAGACGGGCAGAGTTTTGGGTATTCGCATAAAAGAACATCTAGCCGATAAAAGGCGCAAAAATCTGAGCTCGCCGCTTGGCAGGCATAGGGACGCACGGCACGGTGGAGAAGACTTTAACATCAAGTGTAGAATTCTTGCGTATGAAACGGAGATCTCGGCTAGGAAAGCACTAGAAGCATTCTGGATCACTACGAAGAATCCAGAGATGAATAATAAGAACGAGTGTTTATCAATAACTTCTGACTTCCTCCCGTACGTATCATTATGTGATCTGTGACTGTAGATCATCTTTGGGTACCTACAGTACGATTCACTCGTCTGCCGCGACCGCCTATTTCCGGTGCAGACTACTCGAGTAGCGGTGGTCTTCCGGTATGTCCTGCTACACTGACATTTTATTTGGTAGCGAGATTGTGAGAAGGCCGAGAACTAGCAGAGCGGGAGGAGACGCTTGGTGGTCTGGAGTTACGGATAACACTTAGAACCATTCAGGCCTCTGAGGAAGACGAAAGGCGTCGAAACGTAAGGCCGTGATTGGAAAGAAATAAAGACCACTTATCAAACCTGTTTGGCACAATAGAAAATTGAACTTACGACAAATGCCAAGGTTTCATGAAAACGGAACTTGGAAGTTACTAATAATATACTAATAATACTAATACTACTGCTCGTAGCAAGCCAAGATCGTTGTGCTGTCAATTCATTCAGCTATCCAGATTATCTCCACTTCGCAGTGGCTCACAACAATCATCGTGAAGACTACTTTAATTGATATTCTATAATAGTACACGCCGTGTCTACCACAGTTGCACTGACTTTGACTCCAATTCAATGATCACAGAAAATGTGATAAAGGAATACTTCGTTATAAGGCTCTTAAACGACTCCAGAGGCACTGTAAAACCTTTTTTACTAATTTTTGCCATGTATAGAAAGAAATAAATGTTCGTTATTATATAGCAAAAATCAGAAAATTTTTATCTTACATTCATTATATTTCTCTTCTTGCAAACAGCGGCTATATTTTTCAAGCAATGAAACCGTCTGAAATAACTTAGACTCAACATTTCTTACTACTTCTTTCATAATTTTATATCATTTCAGACTTTTCAGAATAGATTATTCACATTCGCTTACAAAGCTAAATCTTTCTAATACGCTTTTGTCCACGCAGCTAATTTTCAGGTGTTTTTTTCATACGGCTTTTACGACTTTTGTAATTAAGAAAATGCTTAAAGCTCAATTGTTGCACACTTTCAGTATATGCTATACAAAATTCGATTACCACCAGAAACTGTTCAATGATTATAGGCGCAAATTACCGAGAAAACGGAATTTTGCTCCTGCTCAGCCGTGATATTTATCATAAACGGATTCGGACGGTTCTATCGACAACCTGCATAAGTCGTAAAGAAAGAGGAAGACTGGGAAATTTAAGGGCATAGAGTAAGACTAAATTTATCAAAAATTCTTGACAGCTGTCATGTTATTGAAGTAGTGTCATAAACCGTTGCGAATGTTAAAAATGAATCTTTCCGGGAGTTAAAAAAACCCCTTTTGCACTTTTATCGCCACACACGCGCAAGATCTCGCACCATTCTAGCGTGCTGCAAACCGCTCAGCGGGTACCAATAATCTACCAGAATTCATTGTGATGTTATTGTGTAGAATTAAACATATCTTGTGATTCAAAGCAAAGCCGCATATTTATTCTTAAAAAAAGACATCAATAAGATAGAATTCCGAGAAACCCATGAAAATCCCCGAAAAGAAGCGAGCACATTCAGGTTCTTCATTCATTTGCAAAGTCCTTTCTGATTATGGCATATCTTTCCAAGACTGGCACACTGAGAGCACGCACGGCCAGGTGTGTACATCTGTTCATCTGATTCATTTCCTCTGAATTATGTCGGCTAGCCTTTGATTTCAAATTACAAATGAATCTTACGGCGGATAGTAGCGGCAAGCCTCCACCCAGTTATCATCGCACTTGGCAATGGAGCAACCGATTTGTGTAGTTGAACCCCAGCCCATCTACAAAGATACTGTTTGATATAATTGTCCCATAAGTCTTTTCATATTTGACATTTCCCTGACATAAGTCAGTTCTGGTCATATTCCTATCAGATTCGGGCTACCATTCAATAAAAGCAAGAAGGCTTAGAAGGTTTAACCAAGCTTGTTCCGAATAAAACTTCAAGCCAAAGTATAAAACGTTCCGAGTTTCCAAAAAACCGGAAAAAATCATATCTCACTCCAAACACATTCTGCGAAGCACTCGCTCGCACACATAGGCCTACCCATCAAATATTTATATATACTCTTGCTGTATTTTACAGTCTGGAACTCAACAAAAAAAGGTGGACATAGGTTAGCAGACTAGCGATTCTGGATTTCCCCAACATACGTGTTTGCATAGTTTATCCAGAAACGAGGCTTCCAATTTGCTCCCTTTAAGGTGCTTTAGTTCTTGAGAATTATCAATTTGAAAGTTTGATTGTGAAAAGACTTATGGGCAACTCAGTAGTTTTTGAGAAAGTAAAAAACAGTGTTTTCTTCGAGAGCAACAGAGTTCGTTCAAACGAGAGCGCTTACCAAGGTGAATGATTTTATTTCAGTGCTGTTGTGTTCGAGAAGAAAGTAGAGATCTTTTCCAGGACCGTTAACTTTTCGTCCTTTTTTCCACCATTCTGTGACCGTCTGAAAATCATTTATTCAAATATTTGAAGATCACAACAAAAATTTACCTTCTTATTCATGTCCCTGAATGTTGGTTCGGCTTCAGTGATTACGCCGCGATAGAAATTCTGTGCCGGTAGATTACCATTCGGTCTTTGGTAACCTTCCGTTGGGCAGCTTTTGAGAAATTCGTAAGCCTCTTTTTCCAATGTGCAATTCCACTCCTTCAAATTTTGGTAACCGAGATGGTTTAGAGATAGTACAAATTTTTAGAGTCAAAACTGACTAGATAATTCATTTTAGCGGCTGCCGGTAGAGTGACTCCTTTATTGTCCGTAAATTGTCCCAAGGCGAGTAATTCTCTGAACAAGGATACGTAGACTCTAATCGATCGATTAGAAAAATCTTGCCATTTATTGAACTATTTTTTATGCTTGAAACATATTACCTTCTGGTGTTGTGAGTGTCTAGCATGTTCATTCTCAACGTGTTGGGAATTCCTCCCCATTCACACATAGAGGTTTCTCCGCTTTCTCCTAAAAGATGGCGTTATTAGAAAATCCTTTTATACTCATCTAAGTCTACGATTGCAGCTTCAAGGTAAGCGAAGCAATTTATGAAGCTAGGCGACTGGATGGAAAAATAACCCGGCATTATTTCCTTCTATACAATACAGATCAAACTTCGTTAAAAGAAAACCCTATAACTTCCTCGAAGTTCGTTAAGGTTCGCGTTGCTCGTCAAAAACGGTTTATTTTTCAGAAAAGGAATCATCCAACCATCCAACACTTCCAGATTTACAGAGGTACCTTTATGGTGCATATAATACGGTAGATCCAGTCTCTCTCAGGTCTCGGGTATACCTCACGCGATTCCAGTCGCGACGCAACTTGGCAATGCTCCAGTTGCTTGTAACTCGTCGCAAACTCAAGTCAAACACACGGAAAATTGCATATTAACGACTCACAAAAGTTAAATACACTAAGCATTTGTACTGCGAGTGTTGGGTTTGAAGAGATCTGGCAAATAATCAAATCGCATGGCGACTGAAATCGCGAAACGTATGTCCTAGGCCTCAAGCAGCAACCATGAATGTCTGTTATGTACACAGCACATATGTGTAACATATGGTAAGCAAAAAAATCGTAAAAACCGGACTGGCTTCCTACTCTTATCCACCATACTCGAACAAGCATTCCATGTTCAAAACAGTCGTAGTCGAGCTGAGTTGAACGGTCTCTTTGGATTCAGATTTCGTTCACTCAAACTGAGATATGCCACTGAGATGCAATTTTCTTCGAATTCTCTCGATTCAAGGTTTTTCTTAAAGGCAGTGTCCAGGCTAAATCTAACCACCCCCGATTAGAGCCGATCCTGAAGGTACACTCCACGAGAGGGACATGTGTCCGGTTCTCTAATGTTGTCCCTGAATGGAGATAAGGGGCCCGGAACAGCCAAAATCCTAAAAGGCCCCGCCCAAATCCTATCAGACTCCGCCCACATGTGCTGGAAGCCGCCCGCGCCCTTAATACAAGGTCCTCAGGAATTGGATTTTTGGGAATTTTGGACTATTTGAACTTCATAACTGTAGTAAGGGCCACGGAAAGGTCCCGGAATGGAAAAAACATGGGAGGCAAAATTTTAAATGGACGCTGCCTTTAAAGTGGAAGTGCTATGCGCAGTCTTGCATCTGTATCTACAGGGTGCCCCAGAAAATGGGCACGTTGATGTTGAAAGCTCTGTTGCTTTGAGGTCTTTCGCCAATTTCCAGGTAACAATCTGCAGAGCTGGATTCACTTAGAGTTGCAGTATAGGCGAATTACCGATCACTCTTCGTTACTGTACGGTGATCTATGGACTACGGTAGGAACTTCGAAAATGATTTTAGAGCATTTAGAGCTGTAATTCGACTCAGAAAAAGAATCAAACAAGCCAAAAACTCATATACTATCGTTGATAGAAATATGAAACCTGCCCTTCACCGTAATGCTGCTCTCATAATTTATTCCAAGTATACCATGGAAACGATGGTCAGAAATGTGATTACACCAATGAAAACTTCAACTAGCTAAAAGTTGTATAGTAAAATCGGCATGCGTAAGAAAGTGCCACACAAATTTCCGGATTTTCTGAAAAAAAGTTTTTCAGACAGATAAACTCTTGCTGGTGGGTGCCCCTAAGTACCGTAATCCCAAATAATCACGGTAAGTGCCTCTTACCGTAATCCTAAATCAACAAAGAGTGATCGGTAATTCGCTCTAAAGTGTAGACCTAAGCTGACTTCAACTCTACGAAATGTATCTGATGGTCTGCAAAAGACTTTGTGGAAAGATAGATACTGAAAACCAAACAGTGCATACATCTTTCTATAGTGTATACATACTTTGACATTCTGTATAATAGATACAATGTATAGAGATTTGACATTGATCTTACCATCTTCGGGCCCAGGAAATTCTGCTTTGGTGGCGACGCTCGGGTCGACCTCAGAGATCAGGGCCTGTAGTAAACCCCCCGGTTGTCGTGACGTATAGCTGGGAGCCTGCTGTGACATGTGCTGACTAATGTGCTGCGAGGCAGGCAAAGCGGCTATCCTTTACCATTGCCGCCGGATGCAATCAATGCAAGGCGTCAGGGTGCTCGCACTTTGTCGCTATGTGTCACCACATATCGCGACATATAGCGACATGTGGTGACGTACAAGAAGACGAAATACTTTGTTCAGTATGGAGACGCAGAGACATAGCGCAAGACTAGAGCTCGACTACGCCAACCTCGTAATAGGTCGCAATGCAGACGGCCGTCACTACCGTAGTGGAAATAGTAGAACTAATCAATTGTGCATGCGCACAGCTCGCTTATCCAGCCCAATTTTTTGTTCTTCTGCATGTAGCGTGCTGTACGTTTTTTCTTTTTTCTTGATGTAAAGTTACAGTGTATCATCATTGTCGCTTATGAATCTAAAATTCGTCTTCTGCAGTGTGACAGTTTTCATTACATAATCACTTTGTTCGACGTATTGTGGTTGATTTTTAGAGGAGAGCAAAAAGGTGCGCAAGCTTTACATAGTCTGATGGGGCTAAAAAAGCTCTATCAGCTTGTGCATAGCTTGCTCCACAATATTCACATATAAGCTTTTAACGTCCTTTGGAGCATTTTGCCGTCGGCTGGCGCCTGTTTGTGCACTCACGCCGATTGCGCGGCGTGACGCATGGCGTCAGCCGGAAATAGACGAGAAGGTCGCAGGAGGCCATTTGTTTATGTTTTTTTCGCAGTTTTGTGTAGTGTGGGTAATCTTCAGTCCGAGGGTCACTTGGAAACGGTTCTCCGTATCATTTGGTATGAGATTTTTAGTGAAATTTCATACCATTATGTCAATGTGCTGCGATTCTTGTTCGTAATTGTCGTCGTAACTCTCGCTACTGTCGTAATTCATCTCTAAACAGTGCTATTGCAGCTTTTACAGGAGCCAGCTTACGCGCACCATATCGGTAGGAAGCAAGAATCGGAAATCAATCGATTGCATGGGAGTCGCAGCTAAAGGTAGGCAGTGGATTTCTTAGTTCTGCTTCTTAATGTTATTGCGACACTTTATCTGTATGTCTTAAGCTTTACTTATCATTTTTGCTTTACTTTCTGGTCTATGCATCACTTCATTTCCGTTGGGATCGGTCATACTATTCCAGGAGCCGATTACTGCGATTCCTGCGATTCCTGCGATTCCCGCACAGTTCGGGCGGGGCTCAAATGAGCGTATGTTGCGTAAAACAACACGTAACACGCAACACGCGCTCATTTAACGGCGTTTAAACTGTGCGGGAATCACAGGAATCGCAGGAATCGCAGGAATCGTAGGAATAGCAGGAATAGTATGGCCGATCCCCTACCCGACAAAGTCTTTGTTAGAGATAGCTTTGGACGAGAGATGTTAGACACGGCTAGAACATAGAAGTTTACTTCTATCACATACCTTTAAAAGATGACATTAATCTTTTTATTTTTTGAATTAATGCCGTGTTAGTGGTCTTACCGTATTGATTTGCACTGAAATTCTGATTCATAGTTCTTTCAGAGATACCGATTAAATGGAGAGAGAAAAGAGTTTAGCTCAAAAGAGGACCTTTCTTTGAAAACAAATTAACTTGTTTACTCAACTAACTAGAGTTCATTATGTATTAACACAATATTATTTTCAAGTTTTTATTACATGAGGTAGACCAATAGAACTATGTACATGAGATCTCTGGAAGATTAAGGACACTTAACAAGGCACAATGATTACGCCTTAGTCGTTGCCTTCTTCGCCGCCTTGGGCTTGGAGACCTTTTTGGATTTCTTCATGGTGGACTTCTTGGGAGACTTGGCTGCTGATGGTTTCTTGGCAGATTTGGCTTTTGGTTTTCTGGCCTTCTTGGGGCTCTTCGCCTTCTTCTCAGCCTTGGGCTTCTTGCTGCTGGATCGCTTCTTCTTGGGTGTGGCGGCTTTCTTTTCACCGGATGCACCGCTAGCTGGCTTCTTGGCAACTGGCTAAAAATATGGAAATTAGAGGGGAAAAAGTTTAGAAAAACCACGAAAATAAACAACTGCAGGAAGAGATACGTAGAAAGAGGAGATAGTACCAACCTTCTTGACCTAAGGTGCAGCAGCTTTCTTCTCAGCAAGCTTGAAGCTTCCAGATGCACCGCTTCCCTTAACTTGCTTGAGATCTCCCTTGATTACGCCCTTCTTGATGGCAGTTCGGAGCTGAGCGTTGACCTAAAGTAAATGCATAAGTTTACAAGTATAGAGAAAAACTCAAATATAACCAAAAAGATGACAAAAACATTAACAAAAGAAGCGAAAACCCTACCTTGGCGACATTTTCTCCGAGTTTGTAGTTCTGGAGGATGTACTTCAGGATGGCAGATTTGGATGATCCAGACTTGTCCTTGAGCTCAACAACAGCCTTGCGAATCATGGCCGAATAAGTTGGGTGAGAAGCGGTCTTCTTGGCGCCACCTTTGGACGAGCTTCTGGCCTTGGGCGACTTGGCGACTTTGGGTGAAGTTGGAGCAGATGAAGACATGACGACTGGTGATGAACAACTAACGTTGAGTTGCTGGCATTGCGACGCGACCCCACTATATACCACGCCGAGTTCCCCCGCCGAGACCCCAGCCGCGTTCACCGCGCCGCGGACCTAAATTGCGGCAGCCTGTGTGCACTTACTCGGGGAAAACCGGCTGGATCTTGGGAAATTCACTAGCAAATCAGGGAAAACTTATGGTAACGTATAGAAAAGTATTTTCTCTACAGGATAACATACGATAACCCTGTGCTTTACATTCCTGGCGCTTTTTAGGCAGCCGCGAAGTTGACAATTTTGATCGTGACACTCAACTGGCGCCACTTTCGCATGAAAAATCATAGAAATACAGAAACAAAACTCAGATATCTTGATATCGCCTTGAAGCCAAGAATTTTTCCTACGAAATCATCTACATTACATATTCCTTTTACTAACCAGCGAGATGTTACAACACCCTAAAGTGCCGCCACAATACACGGGTGCGCGCATTACCGCCTGCGAATCTCAGGTTAAAGTTGGTCAACTTCCATGATTTCTACATAGGAAGGTTCCCCATGTTTTTTAGAACAATATGGCCATAGTACAGAAGTTTTTATGACATGCTCGCGCCTTAGAGAGTTAAAAAACTAAGGCCCGGAACGCGCGCTTCCTCGATGCGCCTCCATCCTTCGCAGCCATGAACATCGCTAGGAACAAAGTTTTTTGGGGAAAAACTTCTTTCTTGGTTTTTAACGTTTCTGAAAATTGTTGGCGACTTTCCAGATAGTGTTGTTTACATGTTACTGTGCTTTGTGTTCTATGCACATGCTTCCAGCACATTAAGTCGACATTCTCTCCCTAACCTTTTCAGATGAATTGCGGAGAATTTATTTGTTTCACATAGATGTGAGCCATACATGGTATTTTAGTGAATGAGCATGAGTAATGGGAATTCAAAGGGAGGCATAAATGTTGCCCATTTACCGGGAGTGACTCAGTGACATTTTCAGTTGGAAAGTTGCCTATTTTAGTACTAGTCAGCTAGTCAGTGCGTGCCTATGGGCGAAAAATTTGCGGGTGAAGGTTTAGCTAAGTCTAAAATGCCCGCATTTTGACGCGCAAACTGACAGCATTACAGGCTACAGTCGGTGTCAACCAGGTACTCCCTTTCGCGCAGAGTCTAGGCACCTGACAAGGGCCTTGCGCGCTGACCCCCAATCAACAAGCCCGACTCACATGCCAAAGGCATACGCGCACGAAGATGCCGCGAAGCTCTGCCGTGGTGATTGCATGATTGGAAAAGGGAGTACGAGATTGACACAGACTGTAGTTGATTGACGTTTGAATCTTTTTTCTCGGCAAGGACACCATTACCTTCAGAACTAGCCTCCACATGGTAGCAGGCCTCCTCCTTGTCGAAACAATTCGAAGGCACTGGCAGCAAAATGGACCTTCAGACTTTGACGGTAGATTAGTAGACTCTGACTAGAACTGAGCATGCTCATAATAAGCGTATAGATTGAGAGTGGAACATGTCTGAGGGTCTCCTATCCGTTACCACATAACAGAAAATGATTTCTCCTTGTAGCCCGCCCTGAATCTAAACTCGAAAGAGACAGACGAGACATGACTATTTCGACGCCTTAAAAAAATCTTTCGATAGTTCATTCCCAACTCAGCATCTGCGAGGACGTTCATACGCACCATCTTCCCAAAGATCTGAACTGAAAATGAGATCTTGAAAGCAAGCAAAAACATGGTACTAATAATAAGCGACAAGGACCACGAAAATCCGAAGACTGCTGAAAGCACCATCATCTAAAACCTCAGCTTCCTGAGGTCTTGAATTGTGTTTTGGTTTTTTTTCGAGAGTAACCGGGATTACGGTAGGCAGGCATACTAAGGCCAGACCGCTCAAAAGCCCCCGAATTTCTGATTTCTCTTCTCATTGCTCTCTCCCCACCCACGTTCCGCCTAGCGTGCGCTTTTGCATTAGCACAGAACGTGTGTGAGGACAAATGTGAGAAATGTGTTGAATGAATGTTGAATGTGTGAATGTGGCCTGGGCAAGCAAAAAATGTCCAAAATCATACATATAATTCCTCGAGCGTTTTTAGGAAAAGAGTAATATCAAAGGATACTGTGGCGGCTTTTGCTGGACAATTCAGTGGAACCCTGTCAAAAAGTTGATTTGAAAATGTAAGAGACACAATCATTGTTGTAAGATAGATAAAGCCTACACAAACCGAAATGATTCAGCGTACACCTGCTAAAATGGATGCAGCTAGGACCTACGATGAGGTAATAGTGTTTGAGACACTGCGCAGAAAGGACGTCATTCTGGACTTGTCCGGATCCCGAAATCCGGACGCGAATGCCCGAAAACAACGGGCATGGAAGGAAGTGGCTGATGCAGTACTATTAAAGTGTAAAAAATTAATGACGATACCTCAAATCAAACGAGTATGGAGAAACAAGAAGACACACGTTAGAGAAATGCTGCTCAGAGAAAGGAGGTAAGTTCACAGCTTAGTTAAAGAGCAATAGGCTTCATTATGCCTTTTCAGGTACCGTGAAGCTACTGGCGGAGGCATAGACTTGGATTTGGAAAAATCGATTTCGAAAGCTGCAGCTTCGTTCACGGAGGGTGAAGCTGAACTTGCCAGGGCTTTGGGACGCGAAGCTGTAATGGCGGGTTTGGGAAAATTTGAGAGTTATGTCGATAAGGTAAGTCTTAGGGCGGGGGCGGAGCTGTATTACAGACTGTATTATTGTATTACAGACTAGTAAGGATGATAGTGGATCATCCCCAGAAAGTATAGGGAATATGGACGGTAGGCGGGTTGGTGGGAGGGCTTCGAGGCAGGAGTGGGTTGGTGGGAGGGATGGAGGGAAACTACTCACACAGCGCCCTAAGGTAGGAAGTATCAGTTTTTATTCCATACGATATTTCAACCACATTTTTCAGTCTATCTGCGATTTGAGCGATAGCTCTCTTGAAGAGGGCGAAATAGGGCGGAGCAGGCGGAGAGTTAGTGGGCGGGTCTTCTCGAAGGAGGAGGAAGGCGGGAGGGAGGGAGGGCGAAATTCTCCCCCATTAATAACGCCGGATGAGTTGGAAGAAATAAGAAGAAAAAGGATTCTGAGGCAACTTAGTGATGTTAGTCAAAATTTATTCACCGTCATTTCCCTTGGCATATTTTTTTCAGTTCGACTCCGATTCAAGCAGCCCGCCCGAAAAAAGACGTCGTTCCTCGGAAACCGAAGTGTGTCGGCTACAGATGGAGCTTTTAAAGGTAAGTGGGTGCATCATTGCTCTGACTGAGAAATATAGCTATTTTTCAGGAAGAAAGAGCAATTTTCACCAAGATATCGGTTGCCATGGACACACTCGTCTCCCTCCTCAATCACCAACTTGAGCTCACGCGGTGCCTGCTTGAGAAGATCGACGGAAGGAGGAACGGGATTGTACCTGGGACAAAGCCAAGTTGGGATCCCACTGATGGGGATCCCAACCTGGCTTTGTCCCACAAATCTTTATCATTTTCATAGTTTTCTCAATGATATTGTTGTTGTTTCTTAAATCAGACTTGCGTTGTTGATTGTTGGAAGCTGATTTTTGATAGTTCATTGTTGATATATAACTGTTGATTGTTGATTGTTCAATCATGCATTGTTTGTGTTCTTATTAATGGATCTTTCCCGAGATTAGAGCATTGGACATTTTTCACTAAAGCGAATCTCACGATCTCATAATTGTTTTCACTTGAAAAATGAATAAAGATATCGGGTTCTCTAATTCTTATACAACACACGAGAGTTTGCCAATAAGCCTAGACCGTTTTTCGCTAGCTTTCCTTCGTTTCGGAAGTCTAACCCAAACTGATCCCAAATCACTAGTTCTGCAGACACTTTCACTTCGTATCTAAACTCACAGAAGAGGTGAAAGAAAGAGACGGTCCATGTCGATCTATATGTTCCCATCTTACGAATAGTATTTCCCTGCTCAAAAAGTCTCCGTTTGATGACTTTCAAGTCAAAAATAGCCGAAACCACCACCTGGAGAGACTCCGGCTTTGAGGGTACCTCGCAGATGAAGGCATTGCATTGCCCCTCTCAGAACACAGCTGGCACGGACCTGGCACGAAGCTGGCACGAAGCTGGCACGGTCTGGCACGGAATGACGCTACTGATAATGCTGATGGATGCCATCATGCTGGAGCTGGCACGAAGCTGGCACGAAGCTGGCACGGTCTGGCACGGAATCAAAATCTCACCGTGATTCATTTGAGTGATTCGGATATACTAATGTTGTCTGTGATGTCACGGCAATCTGATACTTTAATAAACTTCACAGCAGGAAATGTCCTACATAAACAAACTCAGTTGAAACAAACACAATGCAAATTATGGATCAAACAGAATAATTATATACAACTCACTAAGTAACCACGAATGTCTGCGCAATCTTCTGGCGGATGATGGCATACAGCTAGTCTACGCCCAAGCCCCCTTGGGCGTAGACATCCCATGGCCATCATCATGTTGTACAGCACTGCGCATGCTATAATGATTTTAGCTGCACGCTTCGGGGCCACACGGATCATATCCTTCAAGATTGCGAACTTCCGCTTCCATCGACCGAATGTGCACTCGACGATGACTCGCATCTTCGAATGCCATCGGTTGTAGGAGACTTCCTGCCTGGTCGTCGGATTCCTAATGGGAGTGATAACGTCGTTCCCATTCGCGAATCCGGAGTCTCCAAGAAAGCTATAGCCATGTGGAACTACATTCTCCTCGTAGGCGTACTTTAACTGCGAAGAGGCGAAGATACTGGCATCATGAACAGACCCCGGGAAGTTCGCATTTATGTACATAAACCGTCCGCGGGCGTCAACAGCAGCCAGCACATTTAGGGCTGTGAAGCCCTTGCGGCAGTAGTACTGCCAGCCAGAATGTGCCGGCTTCTGTAACCGTATGCAGCTTCCGTCAACGGCTCCGATGATGTTCGGAAATGCTCCGGTTCGGGCGAAGGCGTCGGCATTCATTCGGCAGAACTGCTCGTCCCCTAATCGGCAGCGGATGAAGTGCCGCACGATTAGGGGGTGGTTGAGAGCGCGGACAACCACTCTCACCGCATTCGAAACTGTTTTCTGGCTGACACCAATGGTATCCGCCAAAACCTCTTGGTGGGCGTTGGTTGACAAGTAACGAAGAGCAATGACAACCTAAATGAGGAGACATTTAGTTTTATATTAAGTTAAGAAGCCTTTCTTAAAGCTAACATGCTGAACATCTACTCAGACATATCTCTGCTTGTTTGCAAAAATTTTCCCCGTGCAGGATTTGATCCCCTAAGATACCCCGACAAACCCCCGCTCGCACACACTGCGCTAACAGACACGTGTATCCTAGGAATCTTCTGCATGTTTGAGTCATGCGTGCGAGATAATTGCGTCATACGCGTATGTGCATAACATTAACATTTCAGTAACACAAACCATAGATGAACAAATCTTGGAAAATCGTACTGACCTTGTTCTCCAAACTAACGGACCAGTTTGGAGTTTCACGTCCTCCTATCAGCGGTGCAAGCAGTCGGCATATTCTCTTCAAATGCTGCTCTTCCATTCGAAACTTCCGCGCCAATATCCGCTGGTTTTGATGGAAAAGTCGGATAGGGTGCAGCCGGCCGTAGCGGATATTGGCGCTCCTTCTCACAGTACGGTGCGCAAAGATAAGCATAATTCTGTAAAAGACATTGATCAGCTGCGGTTCCTCATCAAAACTGATGTAAACATAAGATAGTAAGTCAAAACTGAAGAAATAGGCGCGCTCGCGCGAGGATAGTCATTTATTGGATTTTCTCTGATTGATTTACCTGCTTTGGCAAGAATAGTATGTTGCATTCTTGCCTTGCAAAGCAAATACCGCAGTGCATATCGGTACTTATAGCGCAGTGCGTGTGAGCGCTGTTGTCGCGATCATCAGCGGTTCGATGACGCGCAGAGACGATCGTTTTGCGGCGCCCTCCGGATAGCTCGCTATAGTCTTGCGAGATACTCCGAGCTATCGCGACATAGTCCCTCTATGTTGTGACAACCAGGAGGGGTTTACTACGGGCCCAGAGGATTACATTCGGCTTTTGGGGTGCCTACCTTATAGATTTCATCTCCATCCTTGATATTCCTGGAAACTCATAGGAATGCATATTCGACACACATAATGTGTTTGACTAAGCAGTGGTGGTATTTGAATCATGATTTTTGAAAAGCACAAGAGTCGTGGACAATGTTCTAACACCATTATTTGTTAAAACAATGAGGAAGTGTTAAGGAAGCGCCGAGAAGCGAAAGCAAAATAAAGAAGCAAACTAAATGTAAAATTGAAAACATACTAAGTTAAGAACCTATTTTTGCTGGAAGAAATGCAAACTTGTAATTTCTGGTGCAATGTTCGTCATTTCCTATACCATTATGTGTAGCATGAAATAAAGGTTGACTTCGTTAATCTTATATTTTAGCAACAACATCGCTATAAACAAGCCTGTGCCTCCCAATTCGTCTACAGTGCTAAAGAATCCTTAGAAAACGCCCACTGCTGCACACGAGACCAAGGTCTTTACGAAATGTCGAAAGTTCAATTTGCGATTTGCGAGAGCTATTGGATTGATAAGATATATAAACAATTGAGTGGATTTCGTGAAGATCGTTTTCAGATGATCGATGGAAATCTAAGACAGATAGCTGCGTCAGATGTAGTCGAAGTTGTTTACTGCGCATTGATATAATATTTGGTGATCGGTCAACTTCTGTCTTTCTGAATGGCGAAGATGATTCGTTGCGCATTTTTCGTACTTCGCTTCTATTACATAAGGCTGCAGCCATACCCTCGATACATAGAGCCACGTACTCTGGTAACCTTCACTTTGAGAGCTATGAGGGGAGGACACAACCTACCGAGAATTTGCATTGTCATAGCCTTTTCTAGTTAAGAAGAAGGTTTCTGTAAAAATTTCACCTGAATTCAGGACAAAAGTTCTCAATCAAGTTCTTATTTGACGAAAATCGTGTTTCAGGAGTTTAGGAAAGCTGTTGGAGTTGAGCGAAAATGAGAAATTGCGCTTAAATCTTCTCAAGAGAGTCGCGCACGAAAACGCTGGTCTATCTCGTTAATGAATGATTTTTAAAGCTTGGGACGTTGTCAGTTCTCCTCGCCGTGTCATGGCGATCAGAATGATATATAATGTTGCAAGGTTTCGTTGAGACCCCGCGGAGATCTAGACCAGAGCCAAATGCCCCGTCGGCTCTGGTCTGTCTCTGCTGCTTGTCTGCGTCTCCGCGCGCTGCGCGCTACATCGCTACCCCAAACGCGGGGCGCGGGGCATTTGGCTCTGGTACCCTTTTCTTCGCTGTTTCGAACCCAATCTCAACAAGCTATATATCATTTTGAAGCTCTTGATCTCTATTTTAACGCTGACAACGTCTCAGAACCATGTTTTTTCATTTGATCGAGAAATCCGGTAAAAACCTTGTTTTCGAAAATCTCTTGTTTTTTCCTAGTTCAACTCTTTTCATGCGGTTTTTTCGTGCATTCTATAGATCTTGCTTCTGTTCATAATGCAGACAACCACCCAGCCCTCAACTCTTCGATTATGGGGAATTTTTTGCATAAAATCGTAAAAAGTGCGTTTTTCTTCACCTTGTTCTGTTTCAGTGCTTTCGCATCGATTTTTTTCCAGCTTGGGCGATTCTTGCTCAGAACAACAAGCGCAACAATCCAGACAACGTCCCAGAAAACAGAAACGTCAATGCGGAGGTAAAAATTCAAAGGACGCATCAAAAATCAAAACCCCGTGTTGCGAATTGCTGGTCCTGGAGCGAAAACTTGCACTATGAAAAGCCGCCAAATGAAAGTTCTCAAACCTCATTTCAGTGTTTTTATCCGGTTTTTAGCAGCTTCTTTTGCTTTCTATATCTGTGTTACGTTCTTTTCTCTTCTTTGATCATCTTTAAATAACCTTCACTTTTTATGAGGTCATATGTTCAAAACAACCTTCACTTTTGACGTCCTGTCTCTAGACTATCGAAGGTATGGCTGCAGCGATGAACCTATTTCGAAGGAGCATCAAAAAATCCATGTGTAAGCTAGTCGAATTTATCAGGTGAGTTGTAAGCTGTTAATCAAATCTAAAAAATCGTCAGGACTCAAACTGCAACACAGCAAGGTTTGATATCAAAAACTGGCTCACTTCTGATCAGTGACGCAGAATAGGGTAGACGTCTCCAATTGTCTGTGTTATAGTACACGACGACCAATATAAAATGCAACCTATCTTGGAGGCGTCAGCACGCATTAGCTGAAAGGTAGAGTTTGGTCATTCTCATAGGCAATCATTACTGAATGTACGTACATTGGCATAAGTTGTTAAATTGTTCCTGTTATGGTCTGTAAACTTTACTACTTGGTCCATGTCGAAGGAGAAGGAGGAGAAGCCAACTATGTCGATTGAGCCTAGCTTATCCCATAATGCACGGGACACCGGATACCGGAGTGGTTCCACGAACAAGTAACTAAAAGATTTGAAGTGAAACCATCGCACATCGTTAAGAAATAGAAAGTTTACATATTTAATGTTTTAGAAAACACGAACTGATGTACCTACGTGAAAGTCCTAAGAAAAATACCCTTTGTCAGGTTCTTCCAAATCCATTCCTTTGTTTGGGCACATCTTGGCGACCAAACTTCTAGCTTCCTGCTCGAGGTTGCAATCATACGTCTGAAGCAACGATTTGATAAAGCAGTGATAAGTTTTACAGCGCGGGTGATGCGCTTAAAAGCACCGTCTAACCTGATGATCCCTGATTTAGCGGTCTTGAGGTTCTGGCACATACTATAGCACCCCCTATCGAGCAGAATTGCCCAAGTCACGACGAAAAAATGTCGCTTCGGAAGAGAGAATTTCGCTCCGGAATAACGAAGAAGTATGAGGACCCTAGGCGACACCCCCTCCTCCCCCCCCCCAAAAAAAAATGCCCGCCCCAACGCGCACGCTTATCCTGTCGCCATTCGTAGAACCCGCAGAGCGGGTTCTCCAGAACAGGAATTTTTGGGGTTTTCGCGGATTTCTGATTCATGTTAGGACAGGGACCTGAGAAGTACTAAGCTAAGCTGATACTATGCTGTAGCTTTTACAGCTTTATCATGCGGTAGCTGCTCTTGCGGAAGAAGCCACAATTCTAGGATCACCAGAATACTTCTACAACGAACTGACCATATTCCTCATGTTTTCTGCTGGAGGAAGTTGCCTTTGTAGACCATAGCCATTTGACGGATCACCATTCAATTGCAGCCCACTCGCTAATAACATGCGTTTATGATTGATCATCCAGAGTATTTCATCGACTTCAGACGTCCAAAAATCGCCACCATCACAATGAATACCGTCCTCGACTGGAATACTCAAGCTATTATAGTCAGCTCATTACTCCTAAATGTGATATGCTGAGCCTCAGCAACGAAAACGTTTGCTAGTAGTGGTAAAAAGGTTTTTTGGCGCAAAAACAGGATCTTTCAGGTATGAAAACACCATGCAATTCAGAAATTTGCCCTCTTTTAGAGGCACAAAATGATCTGCTTAGCGTCCCCTCTGAGTAACATATTTAATGCTTTGCTCCTGACTAATTTTTACACAACTCGCATTTTTCAATTTAGGTGCTATCACAATCCCGTCAATCCCAGTAGATATAAATCATAAATGTCTTGTCTCTTTCTTAGAAAAGTTTCCACTTAATTTCTCCCTAAAATTCTAAGTCAATGAATGTTGTTGATGGAATGGTAAATTGAAAGCTAGTGTATACGATTTGAGCTATCCGAAGCTTCGAAAAACTTACTTCATTACTTTATACTGGCGCATCGACAAGCCAAGGGGATGAATTTGGTTTTCCATTTGTAAATATATAAGCTTGTTCCATAAATTTGTGCTGTTTTCGCCCTTGTTCTTATTTTTTTGGAAAGCTGTTAGCGACAAGCTACCTTACCACTGCAAAAACTGATCATGCTCTTTAAAGTGAGATAATTATTTTCAGAAATAACTGATTTTCTTCAATCTTCAGCTTCCGCATACAAAATTCCCAGAAAGTGAAAGCAGCATCAAAGTTTATGCTGTATTTACTCATGCAAAGGAGCATTTTTTACACAATTAATACTGAAGATAAAGATTTTTCTTTCGTACATTAATATGAGACAAAATGTTTGCATTGCTTCAGGAGGAACGCCATCCAAAGCTCGAACAGAGTTACTTAAAGAGAAGAATAGCTCGCCTTTTGGAGCCCAGCAGCGTAGCAAAAATGGGATTGTTTCACTTCTTGAAATAAGGATCGCGAATTTTGAAACATCGGGTACTTCAGCACCTTACCGTCCACTCCAAATTTCACCCTATCAATTATCTGCTCCGCTTATTCGCAAACCAAATAAAAGGAGTTGTTTTCCTTTACGAAGAAAGTTTCAGGCGATGGTCAGATAGAACAGAACAGCTGCTTTGAAAAATGAACTCCGCATTTTGGCGGCGTTGGCAGACGGCATTTCAAAAACTACATTATTAACCGCTTTTCAGGAAAGTTTTTTGTTTTCTTGGGATACTAGTGAACCAGTAATCTTGAAGGTGTTAGAAGGCGCGCTTGTATCGGAATTTTGAATGAACTTACGACTCTTCCATATTAGGTGGGTCCGAAAGTTCGTACCGTTTTTTGAACTAATCTAAAATCGTTCAAAACGAAGATGAACAAACAGTTTCAACAATATCCGATACAGAATTCTTCCTCTTTCCAGCCGCCATGTTTCCATTATGACTACTTCGACGAGCGCTGAGATAATTGCCGAGAACTAAAACCCTTCATTTTTACCATGTCCAATTCCGCTAATTTTCAGAATTTTGACTTTAAACTTTCAAAGGTGCTCTAATAACCGCCTGATAAGGCAAACCTTTTTCAGAGTAATGCAAGTTTCGTTTTTCTCCAGATTTCTCTTTAGGATTTTCTACCAGAGCATTAAATGTTGAAAAAATCGCGTGTCACATAATTGCACCAAACACTGCGAAATCCTCAAAATATTGAGATTCTTGAATTCGGTTATTACTATCACTAATATTATGAAGTGAATGAACGATTACGGCGTTAAAACGGATGGATTTCGAATTTCGACTACAACCTTGCGCACCCTTGAAATCGAAGTCGAATGATACCTAAACAGTTCAATGTTTTGCGAGGTTAGAATAAGCCAAATATAAAATTTGGTCATCTCAGAAAATATATTAGGTCATTCCGAAAGTAACTTCGCTTTTTTCAAACGGGCGCCACATTTGATGGAAGAAAGATTTCTAAAAGCTCTTGGAAGCATTCGATGCAGAATTTCATTCTCTTTCTAACGGTTATGGAAATATTGCAAAACATTCAACGAGCTTTCAGAAAATAACCAAAATCTGCGACCCATGCTTTTTGAGGTGTTCAAGTTTCGCGATTTTTTCAAACTTTCATATCAGTCCTCAGAAGGAGTTCAAGTAACGGTTCGATAGAGTAAACCTTACAGAATACAGTGTTACTTTTTCTCTTACTCGCGGCCCGCCGTAATTTTTTAAAAGATTTTTCAACAGAACCATCGGATTTTGGCAGGCCCTTCTCAGCCACAATCGCATCAAACATCATAATTTTTCGTAATTTAAGACTACCAAGATGGTATTATAAGCTAGCATTAATTTTACAAAACAGATGAGAGTTTACGGGTTCGAAATATCAAATTTCGAGTTTTTCGGACAGCCTCGGGCTCGCTAAAAAAATGAGTTATGATGATTTCTCCCCGGAAACTAAACGAATCGGAAACAAAAAAACACCTTTTAGAAAGAGGAGTAGATGCTGCATCGAATAGTGCGCGAGCTGCTCTTCTTTTGATGTTTTACGAGGATTTAGCTGCCCAAGTATTAAAATCGGTAGCATCAGTTAAAATTCTGTTGAAAATGTATGACAAGCTATGGAAAGGAGAAAAAAGCAGTGCTGAATTCTGTAAGGTTTACTCTATCGAACCGTTACTTGAACTCCTTCTGAGGACTGATATGAAAGTTTCAAAAAATCGCGAAACTTGACCATCTCAAAAGGCATGGGTCGCAGATTTTGGTTATTTTCTGAAAGCTCGTTGACTGTTTTGCAACATTTTCATAATCTTTAGAAAGTGAATAAAGTTCTGCATCGAATGCTTCCAAGATCTCTTAGAAACCTTCCTTCCTTCAAATGTGGCGCCCGTTTGAAAAAAGCGAAATTACTTTCGGAAAGACCTAATGTTCTAAAAATTCCAGAAAGCATGCTAGAGAGATGAAAAAATTGCATTAATTTGCAAAAGGGTTGCCTTATCAGTGGTTAACAGAGCACCTTCAAAAGCCTGAAATAATAATTCTGGAAATTAGAGGAAGTTAGACATGGTAAAATGAAAGGTTCTAGTTTTCGGCAATTATCTCAGCGTTCGTCGAAGTAGTCATAATGGAAACATGGCGGCTGGAAAGAGGAAGAATTCTGTATCGGGTACTTATACAAACATTTGTCTAATTTCATTTTGAACGATTTCAGATAGGTCTAAAAAACGGCACGAACTTTCGGACCCACCTAATATATTAGATACTTTCGAAAACGACCTATTATTGACATATATCATTATTATCGTTAGCAAAAACGCAGACTACTAACAGTGATTTCAAAGGGGAAATTCACTTTCGATCAGCAAAATTTGAAGAGCTCTGCACATAGGATAAGTCAAGCGTGATTCAATGTCAGAGCTTTAATAGACGCTGAAGACAAGGCGACAAGCCCTTGAACATTTGCTCTCTTCCCTTTGCCTTAACTGGCTGTTTTGACTATCCAAATCAAAACTGGACTTACCCACTTGAGCCAATATAGGCAGCGCGGGAATGATCTGGAAGGAAATATTAATTGTTGAGTTGTGGATAAGAAATGAAACTTGCCAGAACTGCGATGTATTTGAGGCAAGCCATTTTCATGCAGTAGCTTAATATTCTCCTTCTTTTATAGGCAGCAAATTTCAGAGAACTTTGTAGCCCTTCATAATCATGACGCCAGCTTTTCTACATCATGATGCCGACATTTTAATATTCTCATCATTTTGGCAGCAACGACTCGTATTATCACATCATAGATAATGCCAAAGCTTTTCGAGTGACGCCGATGTTTAGATGGAACATAGAACTGACAGCTATATTAATGCTGAGTAACGAAAGAAGATGTAATACCAAAAACAAAGCTGCTTGTTGATCATTATTTTTGCAGCTAAGAAGAAAGAAGAGCATGAGTAAGAAGCTAAAAATGCGTCGAGCATTCGATGAAATCACGCATACATTTTTTTTTGAACTGCCACGTTTCTACTGTTGATTTCCATAACAGCTTTCGCGGATCTTTATTTAATTCTACAAAAAGGTAGTTCCAATTCGTAAGCTTAATTAGTAATTCTTCGTAGACCCGAGATGATGGTACTCTTAGCGACATTCATAATGATTGCGCTCGATGTTTTGATGATCACTTATCATGCTGTCAGCCATTCGTCTTTAGTTACTCGCTTTATCTGTCTTTACATGAATTGAGAATTAGTTTGTATGTACGATTGAATGCGCTAATGCGTCAAATGGTTGGCGCACAATATGCAAATACACATTGGGCTCACTCTCTTCATGCTGCTGCTTCCATATAGAAGCAGGCTAATGTATGCTGCTTCACTTTTCGCTATTTTCCTTTACCACACAACTAATAAACGTCTACATTTTCTCGGTCTTCACATTACGAACCTTACGAACATGCTACGAATGAGCTAGGTTCCAAACACTTTAGGTCATAACAAATCTGGCTTCTTACATTTACAGCATTAGAAATCACCCATCGCTCCACTACAGCACGATCACGGTAAGCTCAGAGCAATGTCACTGCATTTCAGCTGCCAAGTCAAAGAATTCCAGAGAAATAAAAGCTTCTACAGTGAAATTCTTATTTCCGCTGATTCTATTTGATAGCTTTATACATGTTTGTGGCAGATCAGCTGATACGATTAGGTTTTGAGTTTGGGGAAAACCGCTGTACGGTAATCCTGTTGTAACCTTTGAGCTAAAGATTGCAGTATTGCCAATGCTAATCAATTGTTAACAAATTTTCCAGCTCTTTCGTTAATTTCTTGAGAAAGTATATGCTCACATACGCAACTTGAAGTTTTTATCGTAATCTCAAAGTAATGGGAGCGAATGAATGCTCAATGAAAAGCGATGGATGATTCATTTTCTAGTATGCAGCTGAAGGCAGCCCTACAAAAACGGTACCTAAAGAACCAAAAAAGCTGTTCCAGGGTACAGCAATCGTGATCATTACATTTTTGCAAAATCTCTTATGCTTCTCTGTAATTCAAAGAGATGGTGTGTATTTGAACATGGAATTGAATTGAATTCAAGAGCACATTAGAGGTATTATCAAAAAAGACGAAAGAAAAATGCTGTATAAGCACTATTCCAACAACGTTTGTAAATTAGAGAATCTAAAAGTTTCCATTTTGGATAATAACCCGATAACAGTGACAAAGAGATACTCAGAAACAAAGAGCTTTTCTGGATAAAATTGTTAATGACACCATACCCGTTCGGATTCAATGATAATATCAAAGGCTACGGAAACCTAAGCCTCATAAAAATTCCACTCATACATGGAAAATCCCACCCATTTTTCAGTCTAAAAATAATCAAAGAAAGAAACAACAGAGGAAAACATAGGCATAAGAAGAAAAACAAAGCAGATAGTAACACAATAGCGAAAGATATTGAAAATCTATTTGAGACTACAACGAAACCTTATGAAATTTTTAGATTTCTAAAATGTAAACCCAATACTTACGTCAGTAGCTTGATATATCTGATTACAAACGCACCCGACCATATTCATATTACAAATAATGAAAAATTGATTTTGTATAGTACACTATGCTACTATCATTTTCCAAAAAAAGAAAATAAAAACCAGCACGAAACTAAAAAAGTAGTAAACATCAAAATTCCTTTCCACAATTCTATTCTCAATAACATCAATTTAAATAAGATTTTCAATAATCTTATATATAAAGCTGAATGTCTGTTTGTCTGTCTGTATGTCTGTATGTCTGTCTGTCTGTCTGTGTGTACGTATGTTCCGAATAGAAAATTCCATTTCTGAACCGATCCGGACCAAACTTGGCACACATACACTACGGGCCCCGGCGGGTGTCATAGGCTACTTTTCGTCATCGATCGATATCGATTTTATCGATTTTATCGATTTTTTTGCAAAGTTTGAGCTAGGGGGCTGGGAGTTGGCACAGGGGGGTAATCGAGCATGGGGATTCCGAATACAATATTGGTTTTCGGGATTATCGATTACTATTATCGATTTTATCGATTTTTTTGCAAAGTTTGAGGTAGGGGGCTGGGAGTTGGCACAGGGGGGTAATCGAGCATGCTGATCAACCCCAAGGGGGGTGATCAGCATGCTCGATTACACTCCTGTGCCAAATTCCAGCCCCCTAGCTCAAATTTTCAAAAAATCGATAAAATCGAAAAAGTAATGGACGATCCTGAAAACTAATATTGTGTTCGTAATCTGCATGCTCGATTACCCCCCCCCCCCTGTGCAAACTCCCAGCCCCGCAGGTCAAACTTTACAAAAAAATCGATAAAATCGATAAAAGTAATGGACGATCCTGAAAACTAATATTGTGTTCGTAATCAGCATGCTCGATTACTTCCCTGTGCAAACTCCCAGCCCCGCAGGTCAAACTTTACAAAAAAAATCGATAAAATCGATAAAAGTAATGGACGATCCTGAAAACTAATGTTGTATTCGGAATCCCCATGCTCACTTCCCCCCCTGTGCCAACTCCTAGCCCTGTAGGTGAACTCTGCAAAAAAATCGATAAAAATCGGTAAAATCGACATCGATCGATAACGAAAAGTGGACTGTGACACCCGCCGGGGCCCGAAGTGTATGTGTGCCAAGTTTGGTCCGGATACGGCGGAGCCGGGTAAGCCAGCTAGTCATAATATAATAAATATAATAAACAATAGTAAACAAGAATATAGAAAGGTTAGAATCATTTATACCTATGATAGCCCTGTTTCCAAAAAAGTTTTTAACTACAACAAATTTTTAAGAGACACTTTTACGCAAGACATAAGTTCTATTCCATGTATCTGTAACCAGTATCCCGATTTCATTTGCGCAACATATAACCATGTCGTAACAGGAAATACCAAAATATTTAAAAATTTGCAAATATACAACATACTAAATAAAGGAACGAAATTCAGACTTCCAAGTAATCTCAAACCTGGACACATCAAACAACTATGGACCGAAATAATTGAAAATTTTTTGGAAAAGATTAAAAAATTGTATCGGGTCAACTATCAAAGCGCTAATCAGATTAGACATATCGTATATTCCTCATTTCAGAAAATTTTACCAAAATTATTGTATACGAAAGAACTTTGTGCATACAATATTGATAATAAAGAGCTTGATTACATTCAAACATACTTCGTTCTATGTCCTATAGATAAAGCCAGTTCCAACTACGGTATCATATGCAAAAGACTTTATATGTCAGTTATACTAAAAGAAATGGATTTGACTAACAACATCACTAACAACAATATATATAACAAGGTTTATAATAGCACCCCACAACTCATTATAGACAAACATTTAAAATTTTCAAAAAATATCAAAATTTATGATGAATCTTGTCGTAAAATACCGATCATATATTGCCTTCCCAAATTACATAAAAATCCAGTTAAATTCAGATTCATTACTGGAGCTTACAATAGCAGCACTAAACCAATGGCCATGGAATTGCTAAACATTCTTTCCTTCTTCAAAAAACATTTTAAAAATTATGCACTAGCTGTAAGAAACAACAAAAAATGTTTACAGACATATTGGTCAATTGATGATATAAATATATCAGGAGACTTAACCAACTATAACCAAAAAAACGTAAAACTCTTTTCTGCTGACTTCACTGACATGTTCACTAATATACCACATACAGTAATTTTTGATAATCTCAGGGAGATTATGAAACTGTGCTTCAAAAATGCAGATAAAAAATACATAGCCATCAATAAATATAATAAGATTACATATTCATCTACAGAAAAAGAAGATCTAAAATCCAGGTGCTATAAAATACAAGATATACTTTTCCTTTTAGATTTCGTTCTAAACAACAGCTACTGTAAAGTTGGACAGTCACTTTTTTGTCAAAAAACAGGAGTACCACAAGTTGGGAACGCTAGTCCTATTATAGCTGATCTGACTCTATCCTACCTAGAATATAAGTACGCCTGTACAGTTAATTATCCCAAATTTACATTTCAAGCCTATAGGTATATGGATGACATTTTGATTATCCACAACAGTGACAGTGCAAAAATTCTTGATATTCTAAATGCTGTTTATAATAATATTCTCAGAATGGAAGTTACTCACAGAACATCTAACGAATGCAACTTCCTTGATCTAACTATACAAATTATAGACGATGTTATAATTTGTAAACAATTTAACAAAACCGATGAATTCAACTTCGATGTTATCAGATTTTGTCATGGAAGCTCATACATAAGCAATAACTTAGAAATAGCTATGATATATACAGAGGTACTTCGAATATCTAGAACATGTAGTTTATTTAAAGACTTAGAAAAAAGATTGATAAGATGCATTAATTGTTTTATTAAACTGGAATATAAAAAAGAGTTAATAAAACATGCAATTTTAAAATGTTTAACATATAATAAAGCATTACTTACAAATATAACTACTTAAATGTATACAAAACCACCAAAAAATTTGTCAATTACATCATAGAAACCATAGAAAAAGGTTAGATCATGTTTTTAAATCATAGCCTAGTCCTGCCCTGATTTTTGATCTAACCGCTCACGCCCCCTATAAATACCCCCCACTATATATACACAATTTGAGTGAAGACTACCACTACTACCACCACTCCTCCCCTACTGATGAGCCTCGGGAGTGGTTAGCCTTCCATTCTTCCCTGTCTAGGGGCAAGAGGCGAAACAGGACTATTTTACTTAACAGAGTTTTCATAATGGAATAAATTATTCGATCCATGTAAAAGTCACATTCACGAAAGATACAATTTGATCCGATTTCCCTAAAATCTGACAGATAAGTCCTCCCATCAGATAAGTTCGCCTTCAAATAAGTCCGCTTTTTGACCTAGATAAGGCTCTTCAGATAAGTCCGCCCTTCAGATAACTCCGTTTTCTTTCCATTATGATTACCCTGAAATCTTCTCAGATAAGCCGAAGACTGTAATAAGTTCAGACTTATCTGTAGACAGACTCATCTGATAGAAGGTCTTATCTGCAACATTCTTGGCGGTGCGAGGGTACATTATTATCAATTTTTCTTGTCAAAAAAGCGGACTTATCTGTGATATTTTAGGATACTTCAGAATAAGCTCAAAAGCACTACCTCTATTAAGGACAGGGACGCGAATTATTGCAATATTTTCCAAAATGAGCAACTCCATATTCTTGAAAATCGTAAAATCGATTCATTTCATACCATCACGTGAGCATTCACACACCGTCCAACCTTACGCCCCCATCCTGAATTTGCAATCGCAAAAACGCAAGAGACAATGATTATTATCGCTTATATCACTTCGAGGAGATAACTACTCAAAGGAAAGAAAACATAAAGAAAACATCGAAACAAGTTAGTTGAAGGGGAGTCTGCTCCCAGAATCCAGGATGGGAACGCCAAAAGTGGACAGTTTGTGCAAGACACATGACCATATGAAATGACTCGACTGTGTACAGGGTTTCCCACAAACGTTTTATTATCTTTCGAAAAGCTTTAGGTACCATTTTGTAGAGCTGGCTTTAGCTTAGACTTGCACAATGGTGCCAGTCAATACCCCCTCTTTATTACTGTAGAATTACGGTAGGAACTTTGAGGAGGGTCTTGAGTAAATAAGGCTCATATTTCACCCCTAAAATAGAATCAAAAAAGCGTAACTTCCTACCCTAGGTTAATCAGAGTCGCTGATTCCAGATATGAAACTCGCACTTCGCCGTAGGCCATTTTTCATGAGTTATGCCAGATATATCACAACAACCAATTTCTGCCATTCGTCAAAAATCAGATTAAGCCATTTAAAAAGCTCTACGAAAGCGCAAATTGTGTACTGAAATCAACGTGCATGAAGACCTTGTCGCACAGTTTCTCAGATTTTTACTTATTACGCATTAGCATCATATGCTGCGAGTTTCTGCCATAATCCTACATTAAGAATTAGAGATCCTTCTCTCCACAACGTAAATCTATGAAGCCAGCTCTACAAAGCTAGCTAGCTCAGGAGTAGCGAAGTGAAATAAGGTTGATGGTAAAACAGTAAGGACCTTTTATGAACATCCTATACACTTTAGGTAGCACTTTGCAAATGCTAAGATTTAGCATTTATCATGGGCTACTCAAGAAAATGGCATCCATCCGCGTGGTAGAAGACCTTTAGTGAGATTACGGTAGGCATAATTCGGGATCATATATATGTAACCAACTTTGAACTTCCAGTTTTTCACCTTTTCGTAGCCTTCTTGCCATGAAAAGCCCACATCTGAGCTTTTCAGAGCATGAAAATGGCGAAAATGGGCTTCTCTTGAAGCCTTCAGGTGCGCATTCAGTGGAAAGTAAGCGAAACGAGGGAGGCGGGGTGGGAAGACTTCCAGCGCATTTTCATTGAATGCGGACCTGTAGAACTTCGGAAAAATCTCATTTTAGCCATTTTCATGCGCTAGAGAGTCCAGATATGGGTTTCCCATAGCGAGAAGGCTCCGAATAGGTGAAAAACTGAACAATAAAGTTTTGCCGAGACGCTGCCTTTGAGGTACGATACATTTTTGCTTTTATACCGTAGTTTTGGAGTGATCTTGCCAAAAAATTGCATTCCCGCGCGCATAAAATATTGGCAATCCGAGATTTCAGATAAATTTGGAGATAAAAAAGTCATTTTCACGAGGTATGTAGTGTCTACTTTCAAGTTTGTAATAAGCTGTACTGATTTTTATCTCTCAAGATTACATATTTTCAATATTTATAACTAAAAAACAACAAATATCGACAGATTGATACATACAAAGCTAGCTAAAAGAATTCGACAAGATAAATCGGAGATCACAGATGAGTACACCAAAAAACGAACAGAGAAAGAAAAAATGGATCGATAAAGAAAATACGAAGCTCATCAATTATTGCACAAATATTCCAATTTTACAGTCGTTTACCCAGATCACAATTTATGCGATGACTTATACAATACTAACCATCGGCGCATGATCGTAGAGATTCTGTGGCATTCGGAGGTAAGTGCCAGAATCGGCAGATTTTACAGAGCCATTTTCACTGGTTTTGGCAACGTCGACATGGTCCAGAAGAGCTCGAGAAATGTCTCGTTTACGTTCCAGAGATTGTGTAGAACCATCGCCTTCTCGTTCGAAAAGATAGCGCATCCTAAAAAGGGAATATGAAAACTTTGGAGATCACAAACATGGTAGCGTTCTACTACCTAGGCCCAAATTCCAGAATCTCATAACTCGTTTCAGAAAACTGTCTGCATGAGTGACACTGAATACTCGTTGGGGATAGAGCCACCGAGATTACGGTAGCTGCACTGTCAAAAGTACGGTAGCTCTACATAAGAGATTTCAGTTCGAAATTGACTAAAATTTTGCATAGGAGTGGTCACTATCCGTATGTCAAATATGGCATATTCAGCCATTACGGTAATGTCCTTAGTTTAAAAGACAGTCGGAGCCCGAAGTTCTACCGTAATCGTACAAAACCGAGATTGCGAGTGGGTAAGAATTTGTGATCAGATTGTCGATGAGGCCTTCTATGCAAAGTTTCGGCGATTTTAAAACTTGACGTTTTACCGTAACTAGCGTACCGTACCTCCAAGGAGGTGGTGATGCCTTACCGTACGAACATCGTAATCTCGCCATAAAGGTCATGTCATGAACATGTTCTTAATCATAAAGTATGCCTATAGAAATTTCACCATAAGGGCCTTTGAGATTATCTCAATGCCTCACCGTACGGCTACCGTAACCTCACCATAAGGGCTTACCATGTGAAAGGGATATTGATATGAAATGGATCTCACCTATTTTGATACAACGAACCCAACAACGCTCTATTATGTATGTATACCTTATCGGCGATATGTGCAACACATTCATAAATAGTTTGTCTTTGAAAGCACCTTCCGGGTTACGGGAACGAACTCCGCCAGTTTCAACCGCCTCCGCGGACTACTGGTCCTACAACGACATGGAGCAATATGCAAAAGGACCAGTTGCCAGCGAAGGCGGGCTCGAATGGCGGAGTTCGTTCCCCTATCCGCACCGTCCTCCAGATTGAGACTTTGAGATTTTATTGCTGTATATCCCGAATCCCCTAACTAGTAATCGCCCAACTCCCGCTGCAAAAGATGAATCAAGAAGCGAGAACATTACTCCAGAATATAAAAGCGGCCTATTTAGCTCCGCCCATCAACGCGGGTGATCTGAATGATGAGCTCAAAGCGGAGTAAACGTAAATGTCGAAAAGATGATTATTATAATTAAGGGCGGATTTATGACAACTCTAAATACTTCAGACCGACTTTAGACATTTATCTACAGACCATCCACGTTAATGGGCGAAGCTACCTATTTCGCTTTTACCTTCTGAAGCGTTTTCCTAGCTTCGGGATTGTTCTTTTGCAGTGAAAGCTGGGCGATTGCTTAGTTAGGGGCCCCGCTGTCATATGGCATTAGAATCTCATCACTCTCCAATTTTCAAGTTAAAAGTCTATGCCTTTAAAACTCGAGTAAAAATACTCGACAAAATTCAAATTTGATTCTGACCTAAAAATTTCAAATCTTACCTGAACAGATATCCAGCAAAAAGAAAGGCGCAGCAAGAGTATATTATTTGCGCTAAAGAAAACAGTATAGCCAGCGCTGAAGATGTTTCTCGAAAGAGGAACAATACGATGAAAGACACCAGGAAGGCGAGCTAAAATAAAAAAAATTCAATTAATTCAAAATTCATGTCAACTGTTGCTCACCATGACAACCGACACTAGGGAAGCTTGCACAGCTGGGCCAAGCGACAAAAATCGTTCAGATGAGCCACGGTGACGGGTTCTAAGGAGAAAAAATGAGCATCTGAATGTTTTACAGCGAAAAAAGTGCTTACTTCCACATTCCACCTAAGTAGACGTTCCAAACGGCGTAAGACACTGTTAAAGCGCAAAAGAGCACAGCTGGCGATAAGTAGTTGGCGATAAAGAGCCAATCAATTCGATCGAAGACCCTAAATGATAAATAAGATAATTTACTGACCCATGAAATTTTTTGCGGAACAAAACACTTTGCGTTAACAAATAATTTCGTATATAACGTTCTAAATAGCTCTATGACTTATAACTGTGCGTAAAAACTTGTGTGCAGACTGATAGGCTGGCATTAGATATAGTGCAACTGCGGTGTCGACAATATTTGCGCGTCAAAATGGCCGTAGAACGCACAATATCGCAGACATGGTTATAGTTATTTTCTAAATGTGAACTGTCGACAATGCAGAAACGACTTATCAATCGTCAAATTCATTAGATTATACATTCGATCAGTTGTCACTTGATGTGTGTACTGCACACCATGCGCGCTACCTCACGACATGTGTGCTTGCCAGTTGAATATCTCAAAGGATTTTGCAATTTCTTCTTCTGACTTTTTTCACTAAAAAAAATTTCAATGCGCAAGTACTCAACTCTGATCGATTTGCTGATTAACTGAATCGGTTTTACCAATTATACTGAGGGGTCATGGGGTCCCACGCGGAATGTGCAAACTTCAGATTAGGTTCCTTACAATTCGATGCGCATGATATAAAAACTCACCTTGACAAGTTGCTGTCAAAATCGTTGGAGAAAATGTAGGTAGTAAAAGTCAACACAGCAGGAAGAACTGAAATTAGCAGATTCAACACTTTTCAGCATTAACACCTGATTTTATGCAAACTTACAGATTCCTAGTCCAATCACAGAGCAAGGACGTGAGCAGCATTGTTCCTCTTCTTCTTTGACTCGCTCGTGAGCTATAAGAACGGCTCGGATCGAGTGAAGGACCAGGTAGAGGGTAGCTGTCACAGATATGACGGAAAATTGCAGAATAAGATGAAGAGCTGGAGAAAGGGCGAATGGGTCGCCAACCTGCAAATAGGAAAAAAAAATTTTTTTCCAAAGAGAGGGGAACACTCTGTCGTACACTACTTGATTCATGGATTTTCGAGTACTTTTTTCTTTAACATTTTGAACATGTCTAATTTCCTCAATCCCTGCCCTCTCCTTCACACCCCCCCCCCTTCCTCCTCTTCTTCCCCCCTCCCCCCTCCCTCCCCGTCCTGGACCATATGCAATAGGATTCCATAAAACATCATTCTCAGGGACAGCTCGGATTACAGCCATCCTCGAGTATTTCCGTCTTGACGCGCTCCAACGCGCTGTTGAGAGCGATTCAAGGCCCCATTGTTGGACGTTTGCCAAGGATCATCTGCATAGTGTTCTGATAGAGAAATCTACGCAAAATTTAACCGCACAGGTGAAAGCGGAAATAGCATTTGATTCTTCTTTCCGACCCCCCCCCCTCCTGTCCAGCCGAAGCCGCGCAGAAGAGATAAAAACATATTTGGAACATTTTCCTATAAAGTGTTCAGCCTCATGCCTCATGACAACATAATTTCACAAATTCTAACTGCAATTTTATCAGAAGAGGTAGGACGTGAGCTAAGCCATTTCCGAAATTTCGGCGGCTCAAAATTTGTCTAAAGGAGCTCTAAAACTAGGGTTTTGAGAGTGCTTCCCGGTTATTTGGGTGACATTTAAACCAAAATTCTCAGCTCAATTATTTATCAAATTGGTGTTTACTTGACTTTCATATTTGATAATTTTTATATGTAGGAATTATCACCTGAGGTGCAATCAACATGACAAGATGTACAACATGTATCATAAAGACGAAAAAGAGGTAGACCAAAAGAGCGAAGTCCACTGTATGGTTCCTGAAAAACTACACTTTTTTAAAAATTATATTTTCTAAACTATAAAAGGCTCACTTTTGTACAGCAGCCATAAATAGTAAAAATATCGAGCAGATCATGGAGATAAAGGTGGTTACTGTCGGTAACAGTACGCTTAAATCTCGCATTGCATCTTCATCAGAGAGGAAGTAGGCGTCCTGAAAGGAAAAAACTTACTTAAGAATGAAGTTGGTATTGTTTTGAATTGGAAAGGAGTCTCACCGGCAGTAGGGAAAACACTCCCATGTGATTTGTTTCACATCGTACAAATCCGTGATAATTCGGATCTATTCTTCTAATTCCTCTAGTGGACCAACCTCCCTCTGGAAAAATTTGTATGAAAAGGTGACCATCGAAAGTGGGTAATTGAACCGTGCATGAAAATTACCTGCACTGTCGTAATATACGCAAGTATAATTATGTAGATAATCCTTTGGTTTGAGCATGATTATCATTTTTGAGAAGTAGACATGATCCGATGTGTCCAGCTTTAGAGAAAGAATCGGGTTTCTGTAACAAATCATGATCTGAGGTCTCACCACGTTATATTTTACAGATGAGGAAAATTGTTTCAAGTTCGAAGAGCAAGAGGAATTAGAACATAAAGGAAACGGTAAATAGGAAAATAAAAATGAGAAATTTCAATGATATCCATCACTGAATGGGTGGTACCGAGTGTAAATTCGAAATGATTTGCTGCTTTTCGTCCTTTTGCCTGTTCTATTTTTTCAATCAAACCAAAGCTTGCACAATATTTTGAATATTTTTCGAACAACTGAAGTTTTTGGATGAACTCAACGCTTATTACATCCAAAATCTTTTTGCTGGAACGTAACTATTCTGATGTGTTTTGAGCTACACCGAAAGCATTACAGGAATCCAAAAGCGTATAGGCCTTCCAAAAGCCTTATAATATAAATATAATTTGTATAAGATGTGATAGCGGGTGTTGACTTATCCAAGGAAAAACTCACTGTGAATCAACGATGTCGAATAGGGAAGCGTTAGCCATGCAAATACTCCTAACAGTATGATCTTTCTCGGCTGTTGGAAGCTAGAAATAATAAACTCAGTTCAAATCTGAGCTCAGGTACGACTTGGCAGCTTACCTTAACCCTGCACTTTGTCCCTACAACAGTCTCAAAATTTTCAGCATCCTTTATCCATTGCATAGCCTTCAAATGGACCCCTAGTTCAGGCGATACTAGAGTAAAAGGCGATGGAAGTCGAGAGGCAAACTCGGACACGATCGAAAACATCTCGGCCTAAAACTTTGCGATACTCAAATCCTAACCAACGTTTCAAAGATTAGCATACCTTAGCCACTGTAATGTTGCCCTGAAGTAAGTCAAAGTCGATTCTCGATACAGAATCGATGACAAGAGCAGCTTGTTCAGCAATTTTTTGATCAAAATGGGCCGTAGCCGTCGGATCCGAAGAAAAGGCTGGTACAGTAAGCAGATCACGAATGAACCTAAATGGGATGAATCATCTGTGAGCGCAGAGGATTACATTTGGACTTACCTCGCTACTGTATGGACAGTAGAAACACCATTAGCGTTCAATGCGAATGTACCCAGCATGCCAAGGTGAGTCAACACGGAAGCCTGTAAATTGTGATTTTTATGCGTGAAAAAATTAAGGACGTGAACTTTTTAACTTGATTTTGATTGGGAGGCAGTTCTGCCACTGCTCAAGCAGCAGCTTATATAATTCACTTTCAGTGAAAACCCCGTAAAAATCTAACCCAGACCGTAATCCTTCCGAACGGACCAACCAACGTTCCATTGCGGTAGCAGCTTGGTCTGGGCTGGGATTTAAAACTGATTTCTGTTCTGCGAGTAATTCACATGAATTGCCGTTTGCGCAACGGTCAATTCGATTCTTCCAACCCCCCCCCCCCCCCGAAAATTTTTTCACATAAAGAAAGAAATGCCATCAAAATATCATGGTTGGTTATATGGTTATATCATGGTTCACGATTCAGCCAAATTTTAGTGTACGAAGAAATACAAAGTTGATTTGATTGTCAAAGGTAACGCCCACAGTGCATTTGAATGATACTTTACCCCAATTAACTCAAAGCATTTAGCATATAGACACCAAGATTTGAAAAAATTTTCGCACCAAAATTTGAAAAAATTATTTTCTCATTTATACTCTTACTCATTCATAGCAGCATTCTTGCTATCTTGGCTTCACATTGTGCTCAATTTCCATTAATAGGTGACCCTAATCGTGACATATCATCATCATAACTTCAAATCTTCACAAAATCAACCGATATGCCAGATTTAGTCGAAATCTCAGCTAGAACTCCACTATTACCCAGTATTGGAATTCTGTTCATGTGGATCTTACCCCCCCCCGCCCTCTCTTCCTTTTCTAGCCTAATAAAAGGCTACGGTTACCTTAGTTGACCCCATCGAACCCTAAAACGTCAGACAAAGCTAAAATGTCGACACAAGAGCACACAGATGTTGCTCTTGATAGAACACCTGTCATCAAGAAAATGAGATAACTGTTTAGGTAATTACTGCAAATCCTAAGCACATTGTTGAGATTAAAAGATTGCTAAATTGTGCTCATAGAAGCCAAGTTTAATTTGTGTTAAATTATGCTATACTTATCTAGAAATTCCAGAAAATATCACGGAAATATATAGAAATATATAGGAATATCAAGGGAAGAATGTTGCGTAAGTATTGCCTACAAAGAACGATTTGAATGTAGTAAAACTTTTAAAATACTTTTGAAAAAACTCAAAAAATAGCTGTAAAAGATTGGAACATCATAGGCAAATTTTCTTTTTACCTCCTTGTTTTTTTTTCGAACTACCATCCGCTGCTTTACAAAATAATTCCATGAAAAGACTATTTTCCTTTTTTGAAATGAAAAGCAAGGTAAGGAAGTCATAAATAACTCAATTACCTGTGATTTGCACTTCTCCACTTCTTTTTGTCGTCCCCAAACAGCACGCCCAAGACTCTTGTTCCATTCACAAGATCTCTCAACTTTCTGTTTATCGCTTTCAGTGTTGTAGGGACCTGAATAACGATTGTATTTATTTCAATGATATTATTTTAACCATAGCAGATACCAGACTATTTTTTATATACACCCCCCCCCCCTTCTGAGATGATCGGTTCCACAAGGGCTACAATTACGAGACTTTGACCGTCCGCGTTTAGGCTGTTATTGTGTTATTGCACTATTATCATCTATCAGGTTCGTAGCGCACAGGTATGAGGCCACTTCTTTTTATTTAGGCAAGATTTTTGGCGCCTCATTGCAGTCTTTGGGCTTTCTTCGATGAAAAGGAACGTTCTATTTTCCATCGAGTTGGTGCAATTACAAAAAAACCACTAGGTAAATGACTATGTCGTACACTTTTTTTTCGTGAACAAGCTTTATAGCTCTAGAAGTTCTATAGAGAGCGGTCAGAATTAACCAAATTTTGCTTTTATGTTTTTGTAGCTGATTTTTGCTCCACAGTTTTTATTCATAGGAAATAAGCCTTACATGGAACTTGTATTGTCGCATTGGCTGGCGCTTCTCTCCAATCCAAACCTCCGTACGAGTCCACAGTTTTTTCGGCTTGGCAGTTATCTAAAAAATACAGCATGACCTTGCAAATTTTGATTTAGTGCTTTTGCGCTGCCAACAACATTTGCGCGTAAACACTGAAATGTGCTCCAAAGCTATTTTCATGCGCAAGCCACAAGCAAGTTGACGGCTTTCCCAAGTGTGATTTTTTCCCGCGCAAGTGTTGTCAACACCGCAAGGGAACTATGCTAAGCGAGTTTGCTAGACTGTACATTACCGCTAAATTTCCCTCGCGCCCCCATGACGACCTCATTGAACGCGCCTTGTCACACTCGATGTGGCGTAATGGGTGTCAGTTTATGGGTGTGTTTGGCGCAATTAAGTGCACCCGCTTGAGGCGTTCGGTTTCCGGTGGCGGTGCGGCTTTTACGCGTGTTTCGCGCATGTGAGCCGCTGGTGCGCTAAAAGGGCGGCCAGTGAAGCGCGGAAATTGGCGTAAAATGAGCGATTGGGCCAATCTCTTGACGCCGTCGCGCATTCATAATGGATGAAACTGTTATGACCTAGGAGATGAAAGCTGGCGGGCGAATGATTGCGCAAGGCGAGGTCAAGACAGGAAATACGATGGGATAAACGCCATAATAAGGTCGTTAGATCTAGCTGAGCGGCTTTGAGTTGTCAGCGCGGCTTGGTTAGACGAGAAATGAAGTGTAATTGCACACATTACACTTTCAAATACGTTATTACCACTTCATCTGGGGAATTTCGTAAGTGGAGGTGTTTTTGTGCAATTACACCATCAACATCATCTTGACAGGTCATGCGCGCGTACACCTGACAAGTCAAAACTTGCGCACTACCCCGTTTTGTATGTCTTATCACGTCAAAAGAAAGAAAAAACGAGTTCGAACTCGTCAAACAATGTCAGCGTAGCGTTCTCGATTCTCTAGCCTCAAAATAAATGTTACAGTAACCCTACAGTAACCCTATCGTAAAGTTACCGCAAGCATTACCTGTTTTATCGCATCCAACACCAACATAGCCATGAAAGCACTGACAATGTGCACCTCTTGCGTCAGTAAACTGCTCCAAACGATTAAATGCTCCATAGTAGCAGAGTGGCACACCACCAGAAGAACATTCTCCTTCACAAGTGATATCTGGAACTGAGTGAGAATAGGTAAAATTCAGATATTTGAAGGTGAAGTGCAAAAAACTCGAAAAGCTACCATTTTGAAATACGGTAAATCGTTGCCAATCACTGGGTGTTTCACCATTTGCATCTACAGCAGAAACTTTGAACGTGAAGTTTCCTGAGGGAGAAATGGCGACCTGGAAATTTTATGTATATGAGAAACGAGCTGGCATACCCGGCTCCAACCGGCCCTATCAAAACACTGTGATAAAGGTTACTACCCTTTTTCTGGTACACCCTTTTCCTGCGCCCATTGTCTTTGAGTCTACTTGGGTGCTGCCGAAACTACACGTCCAGAGATCTCGTGGTGTAGTGGTTATCACATCTGTCTAACACACAGAAGGCCGGCGGTTCGAGCCCGCCCGAGATCAAACGTTTTGCGTTTGGGCTGATGACGTTTAACAGCGCTAACTAGTTGCAAAATCACCATTGTAATGACAAAAAATAGATCAAAACGCTTAAAAAGTACTAAGATTGCATTTGTGAGGGAAAAATTTTCTTATGCGAGCGCTGCCTTTTTTGTATCTGAGTTTTGCACGACTTCAAAAAGAATTCATTTTTTGTCTTATTTTTCAATCAAATAATCAACTTCAGCGATTTATACATTCATGGGCCAGGTATTTATAGTGATTTACTCCAAAAAGATTTTTTTCTTTGCAAAAATGAAATTTTTATAAACATGTTTCTTGATGTAATCAATTTCGTTCGACTCTGAATTGACTGATAACATTCCTTTTTATTGGAAGCCCCCACCCCCGTTAAATTCATGAGAGCTACCTTTTGTGAACACTGTAAGCTTTACCAAAAACATTTGGCAAAATTCCAAAAATTCCTTTACCTTGGTAAGTGCAACGGTTCGGTGACCATCTAGCTCTTCTTCGTAGTGCATACTTTCTCCCCTAGCAATAGTGAGGCGATATTTTTCTGGATGTCCATACGATGGTGCATACCATTCGAAAATTTGATAATCTTCTGTCGCGACGTTTACTCGAAGATTTTGCACTTCTAAAATGATTATTTTGTTCTTAGGTTGCTCCAAGTCTGCACGAAAAACCTACGCGATACGGTAACCGGAACAACAGTCAGATTAGCAATGGTGAACAGTTGTGGGCTACCGTAGTCAATCGCCAGAACCTGTCAAGAGATTGTAAAAATTACACTCGCAGCTCGTAAAATTAATGATCATTGCGTCATACCTGCATTTTTATGGGTTTGAATGCTACTTGGGACGCAAGATCTTCTTTGAGAATGAGGGTGCCATCAGAATGTACGGTAAGTAATGGTTGGTCTTCGGTAAAAGTAAGACTTCGTTCAGAGTTGTAGATCACTGGATCATTGTCGTGAACCTGAAGATTACTGTAGGGTTACTGTATATTTACCATTACCATAAGCGAAATGGAGTAAAATACGTAACTTTATTTTTTTTATATTGCATACTATTACAATCTAAAAATATTATTCAAAAGTATTCAAAACAGTGGTGAGCCTGCAGGTTACTGTACGATTACTGTATTCACCTAAGGTAGTAATCAAAGCAGCATGAACCTGACAGTAATGTAGGATTACTGTATGCGCTGGATGTAATTTTTTGCAGTCATGATCCTGAGCGTTACTTTACGATTACTGTTTATTTTGGAGGTAATAATCAAACGGTCATGAAATTAAATGGTGTCTGATTACTGACTCTGCAGGTATTGCGGGAAAGTAATGAGCGTAGTAGTTACAGTATGATTACTGTATATCCCGAGGGTGAAATCAACGCAATCATAAACCTCAAGCTTACTGTACGACCACAGTATACCCTAAAGGACGTATGCAATACAGTCTGAGCTTTAAAGTTACGGGTAGAGTTACTGTATCACCTTTGAAGACAATATCCAAAGCAAACATAAACCTAAACGTTACTTTAGGGTTATGGTAACATCTGGAGGCACTAGTCTTAGCACTCAAGCAATGTATCGCTCTTATTACTGTATGACCCTCTATATATGTCTAATACTTAGGGTTAGTGTAATATACCCCAAAGGTGACAATCAAAGGTAACACTACAACCAACGGTGACATTAAAGCCATCTATATACGTCTAATACTATGGCGGTTATCTCTATACGTCTGATACTGTAGGATTACTGTATCATACGCCAAGGTACTAGACCGAGGAGCCTTTTGCAAAACCTCTAATACTGGATTACTGTAGCACATTCACACATGTTTTTCTTGGCACGTAAGCCACACACTACGTCTAATACTGTAGGATTACTGTATCTTACCCTAAGGTACTATACTGAGCACTCAAGCCATCTATATACGTCTAACCCAATCTGCGACTATGTTTACCCAAATCGCGCAAGTGTCTCCTAGGTGGTAATTAGCCTTTGCGCCCCGCGATTAATTGGATGTTTGTTGAAAACTCGTGGCTTAACACTAACCTCTACCCTCTGCTAAGTGTCTGCAAATGTGCAAAAAGCTATTTTCATCACAGTAATCAACGCACCTCCATTTTCCCAACTTGAGCTCCGATGGGTAATGTAACCGGGGCATAAAACCGGTATTCAGGCTTAGTGAATGTCGGCGGATGATGATTTCGATGAGTGACATGAACCCGAAAGTTCAACGAATGCATTCGATTACCCGTACAGAGACTGAAATGACGTCAGAATAAGTTGGACCAAAATTTCGGGGTGAAAAAGAAAGACAGTCACTTACAGATGGAGGGTCCCGGTAAGGTCACCAGTGGGTCGAGTCGATGGAAGATCAGCGGAAGTGTAGAATGCGTTGCGAGAGGATCTGAAAGAAGTGAGGAGCTTCAAATAGGCAAAGATTCGAATACGGAACTTCCGGAGGCAAAAATATAAGTTGTGCAACCTCCGAACATACAGAAATTTCAACAACAAAAAAAAGATATCGAAAGTGCGAAAGCTCCCAAAAAAAACTCGAAACGTAGTGCGGAACTTCCGAAAAACATGATGATTTTTGAACATAGTGTATATGGTGCAGAACTTCCGCAAAAATGAAGAGACAGACTTCCGAGGAATTATAAAATGTAAAATGATTTCAAACATGCGAAATTTCCGCAAAATAGAATTTAGAATAGGAAACATAGAAAGTAGAAATTTAGAATGCGGAATTTTCGAAAGATTAAGAAATTGCATGCGAAACTTCCCAAACAAGTTTGGAATTCGCGAATCAGAGTATTTTAAATACTCTTGAGAGAAAAAAGAGTTAAGCGGTCTCGTGCAAAATCCAAGACACTCGGAACTTCTCAAAATGAATTTTTTTACTAAGTTCTGATTTCTTATCTGTGAGGCAATTTATTCTATTAGGATGCAATAACCAATAGTTGAAAATTTTGCTGCGATTTTCCAATTATTTCGAAAAAATTTAAACCTCAAATTCCGATCAAATTCGCTTTGCGGCTATTTGAAACAACATTTTAGTGCCTACAATTCATTTTCATTATATGTACTTCATTGCCCATATTTTTTGAGCTCCAATATATTTTCGCTTAATAAAATCTAACTTACTGATACTCAATCCACTCGATATCGGTTTCCATTTGTCCAAAGCAGTTTTTCATCGTCTCAAACCGACGTTGTAGTTCGACTCCCATAGTGAGCCGTGTCCCACGTTCGGCTCCATCGTAAATTCGCAGCTCATAAATTCCTAGAAAACCGCAATATCGCTTCTATTTTTAGCCATGCACTCATATCTGTCTTCTTTTCGTAGCTTTTTCTACACAAGGCTATAAATCCCCTTAAGCTCTGGATGTTATATCCTTTCCTAGCTGTGACAAAAAATCCTCAATAAGCATTCATGCGGGCTAGAGTACTTGTGTACTTGCCAGGCAAGATGTGCTCATTTTTAGGGGGCGAATAATGAATTTCCGAGCACCGTCTAGGGGCCCCCCTCTTGATCGAAGAAGATTCTACTCGACACGCTAACACTCGGAGAACATTATCAACTTTCTGTGAGTCAATTCGAGCCGAGAGCGAAGACAAAGAGCCGGTGGATCTCGTTACTTAGGAAGTGCTGGCAATCGTTGGCCTTATTGTGTGAGTAGCCCGAGAGATAAAAATGAGATCAAGGAACAATATGGAGAAAATTTCCCAAAAAAAAGACGTAGGCGAAGTTTTTGAATTCCCGGATTTTACTTTACAGTCAAATTCAAACAGTTTAGAAGTAAAGTATAGAGTATTGAATCTTCATGTCCACTTCAGGGGAGCTTAATAAAAAAAATCAACTCGGGAAATTTCTCAGATAAGGATCTGTAAATTGATAGTTATTACATATAAAAAGTAGCTAGGGGATAAAAATGAGCTCAAAGAATGGTTTGAGATGAGAAAAAAAGGGCAAAAATCCCAGAATTTTTTATTCATTTATTTTTACCTCAAGTAAAAACCTCAAGTACTCGGGTAATGTATAGTAAAGTATATATGAATTATGATACTTTGAATTCCACGAGATAAATATCACTCAAAAAAGTATCGTTGAACGTTATTATGAATATTGGATAAATAGAGTCCAGATAATGAGCTAGCTCTGAAAGTTTCCTCTTTTTTCTCGATTATGCAGAGAGCCCAGAATTTTTTTTCCAAACCCCTTTACCGCAATCTCTTGTTAGAAAGTGTAAGGCGGATTTTCGTGCAACTATTGTCTTGGAAAGCTAGGAAATTATCTCAAAGCACATCAGTAAAAGCTTGACAGCTGTTGAAGTCATCTATAGAAAAAATGAAGAGATTAAACGACGAATAATGAGCTGACATGTGAAAGCTTTCAACTTTTTTCAATCTAATATAAATATATTTGAAGACGTTAGTCCGATTTCTATGTCTAGTTACATCAAATTATCCGAAAAAATTCATATGCGACCAAAAGATTTCAGGACTCCTTTCCTCCTTCCCTGACCTTTTTCTATCCTAAAGATATTGAAAGCAACAATAAGAAAAAACATTTAACTTGCTCATTACGTGATAGTTCACAATTTTTCTTAGACTAATAATATTCATAACCCATTGTCGTAAATAATTCAAAGATTTCAAGATTTCCCATTTGCTTCTTCAACTCCCATGAAAACACTTCATAATATACCGGATCAAATGATTCAAAAAGGCTCCTGCTAGTAAGGAGCCCTTACTTACTAGGACTTATTCCGCCACCTAACAAAAACTGCTTCATTATTTTTATTTGAATACCCTTATCAATTTCATCTCCAATAATCCAACATTTTCTTGAAGAATGAGCGAGAAAGGACAGGTTTCCTCAGTAATGTTCATTTGACATAGCAAGTTCAAGAGAAAAAGTACAGAAAGAGTATGGGAAAGGATTTTTTCAGAGCAAAAAAAAAGAAAAAAGCTGCAAACATGGGAAGCTAAGGACAGGTCCCGGTCAAAAAATATCTGGTAAGTCTTAATTTCGTACTGGAAAATATTCTACAGCTAAAAGCAAATCTTGTTTACAAATTCAAAACAAAGTAGAATGTAATATCTTACCTTCGCAGAGTACAGAACTGATGAAAGATAATAGAAAAATCAACAGCATTTCAGTAATTAGCGATTGGATTAGCGTTCGCTAAGATAAGATCGATTTGGCAGTCGCATTCCAGGCAAAAAATCTGGAAAAAAAACGAAATTTATAAGAATAAAGGTTTTTTTAACGAAGTGGTGAAGCAACGATAAGGAAGAATACTGCAGAGGAGGGCATGCCTATTATTTGCCAATCAGATATGGGGAGGTAGAGAGGCGAAATTGCTAGAAGAACAAAAACGCTTAATTTTCGCGTGATGTGGACATAGAATTCCCAAGTGGGATACGAAGCGAGGAACGTTTCGAGTAGCGATTTAGACTTGATGTTTGCAGAATGGGACATATAGTGAGTAATGAGGAGACACTCGAGGGCAGGTTCGACATAAAAGGAAAAAAAAGAATCATTGTTAGGTGGCCCCTACAATTTCAAAAACCAAAAAATAAAAAGAAACTCGAAAAGTCCCAGCGTGAAGTAATCCAGCTAGTTAGCTCTCAGAAAGCTGGAAAAATCGTAAGAATACAAGGAGAACGAAGAGGATTGAGGAAAAGGAGTGAAATTTTTCGGAAAACCAGAGAAATCCTAGGAATCCAAAAAGTGAACTTAGAAAAAGGGACAAGAGCTGGAAAAGGAAACTTATTTGCACCTGACTCGATTCACAGAAAAGTAGGAAAGTTCAGGAGACTTGAGAAAAAATGTGTAAATATTACAAAGTAAGACGATCTTCGGCTGGCCTAGACAATATCAGAAAATTTAGAAACTCGGGGATCGCAGGCGAGAAATGCTCGAGAAAGTGGTCCAAACAAAAAAAAAGTTTATCGGCAACTAGCCCAGAAACTCCAGAAGAAAAGAATTTTAGAAATCTATGAAGTCAAAAAAAATCCTTAAGGAAAAGTTTGAACCTTCGGAAGATAGAGAAAGTTGTATAATAGAAAAAAGGAATTCCGAGAATTTAAGGAAAAAGTCCAATCGAGAAAGAAAGGAGGACCAACGGCTCTTTTTTTTTAAGAAAACAAAATCCACAGAAAGATAAAAAACTCTAGACATTCATGTATGGAGGGACTGGCTAACGAGAGTGGGTCCGAAGAAAAATCGTATGTAGCGGACTCAAGTGAATTGCTGAAATTTTTCTTTGCTCTAGAGTAAGCACAAACCGTGGACTTTTTCCTCATTTTTGAAAATTCTTTCCTGGTTATTCAAACGATGTGAGCATAAGTCTGAGGAACAGTGTTCAAACGAGGAAAAAAGAAAACCATTTGCAGGTGGGGATGGGGGTTGTAAGATGCATCTGCTCATTTTTATAATTATCCGCTGAGCCCAAAACATTCGAGAAATTTACAACAATCTCAAAAATCTACCGTAATGCCCTCTGTGACAATAGAAAATATGCGAAATATGTGCCCTATGTGCGTGTTTAATGCGGGTGCATATGTCCATAATCACCCAAGGGCCCCGTTAACCTCACACCCCGTCCCGGTCACGCCCCTCCATCACCACGGGGCTCACGTTCACCCGTTCGACCACCACGCTGTTCGCGCTACTTGACAAGTAATGCGAACGATGATTTATGCGTTAAGGCAGCATTTGTCGCCAGACGATACCCTTTGGGCGGTCAAATGGGTGGGGGAGGGATTATAGGGAGAAAACCTAGAAAGCAAATGCTCTTAAAAAGCGCCAAAAATGCGAAAATTCTAAAGCAATTGCAAATTTTCCATTTTTATATGGACTTTGTCCTAATTTATCAACTTTATCTCTTTTCACGTCGAAGTTATATAATACCCTAGCAAAAAAAGAAAGACGGATTGCAAAAAAAAATGGAAAATCCATTACTTAGATCTCACACATCAATCATATCTGTGAAAAAGGCTGAAACGTGATAAATTAGGAAATGCCATAAAGAAAAAGTCCGCAAGTAACAAGAATAAAAATCACAGAAAAATAGAAGTGAAATCACTAGCAGCATTAGGGCTGGCGGGGGGGGGGGAGTGAGAGAGAGACAAAGGGAAGAAGCAAGGAAAGGAAGAAATCAACGGAGGTTCTTTTTTCAAGCTTTCCGAATGAAGTTCTTAGGTAACCGCAATTTTTTCCCAGAAATTTTGCTTCAAGTATCTTGTGAGCCCATAATGTTGAAGATTTTCCACAGGTGGACTGAATTTATGTGAATTTTGAAGTTTTGCCGCTTATTCACGAATAGGATTTGTTGCTTATTCACAATTTAGAACCAATCATTTATACTCAGTGGTGGTCCGAGGAGGGGGGCGGGGGGGGGGCCCCCCCCCTCCGAGAATGGGTCGCGAAATTTTTGAAACTTACCTATATGGATTATAAAAATGTGCAAACGACTTGTTTATTTTTGTAAATAATTAAAATAATTTTTAAAATTTTTTGAAAATTCAAATTAGTCTTACACGCCCCCTTTTTCCAGATTTTAGGGGTTGGGGACCCGCAAAAATTTTCAGAAGTACTCCTAAAATTTTTTCAGAGTGGTGGCTAACGCCACGCACCTTGACTTGAAAAAAATTTTTCCGCCCCCCCCCCCCGAAATCCTGGGACCGCCACTGTTTATACTAAATCACGCCTCAGGTCCAAAGATCAATTTCAAGACCCCCTCACCTCCGAATTTTGTGTCAATTTTCTCTGCCCGCCATTGGCTCAAGCTACAATCACGTATGACCAGCGCGTTATTCTTCTTTCTACCTTTACTCCAGTGGCGTACCCAGAATTTCCGTTCGGAGGGGGGGGGGGGGCGACTAAAATTTTTATCTGTTGAAGGTGCGTGGCTTTAGCACTTACGATTTCAGGAGAAGAATTGCGGCAGGATAGTTTGAATCCAAACGTCCTTGTGAGAATTTAGTTAGTCTGATCAATATTAAACAAGAGCAAAATTTTTGCGAAATACCCTTAGTTCCAACGTGCTGATGGTCCAAATTTAAAACTTTTTCGAAAAAATTCTCTAGGGACAAATGACAACAGTTGAAACACAATCCTCTGACGCAGACCCAAGTTTTAAAGATATTTTTGCCCTATCTAAACAAATCCTTGCTGCAAATTTATAATATAAATAGTAATTCCATAATAGGACTAGAATTTCTATGGCCTATTGAATGTGATAGTACTAAATGTTAACTGGTACATAACCCTACAAGTCTTTGAACGTAATCACATCTCATTGCAAGTAAATTACATTAAGCTGGTCATTTTTACTGATTAATGGACTTGTAATAGAGAGCCGGTGAAATGTGATTGTTTACCACTTCTCGTTACGTGTGAAAATGTTGTAAGACTAAGGAGGGGGGGGGGAGGCTCGATAAAGCATTAATAATAAATAATATGTATGCTTCTCACGGTTTTGAGCACAACAATCTTGTAATCTATGTAATAATTCAAGAATATAGTAAATTCATTATTTTACGCAAAGAAGGAAGGGGGAAAAAGAGGGACGGAGAAAGAGGAGATATAAATTTCTATTGGTTCGACACATCCGATATAGGGCTAAAGTTTGAGACATTCGTAGACAAAGTGACATCTTTTTTTTACAAGAGAGGAAGAGAAATCCGAAAAAGAAAATAAAAGTAAGACCCAGCAAATGTTAGGATTGAAATTCAAGAACAGAGTAAAAACAAAGTTCAATAAATCTCGTTAAAAGTGAAGTATAGTAGACTTAATTGAGAGGAGATTTATTAAATCATTTGTTTCCTTTTTTGTTTCATCAAGTAATCTACGCTAGAGGGTGCTAAAGATTTTGATTTAGGGCATGATAACAATTTCCTACAAAAAAGTAATAAAATTTGAATTTTTTCAGATAATAAAAAACTTCAGTAGCTCTCGTTTCAAATTCCATACTGATAGTAAGAAAAAATTCAAGAAAGAATCAAGGAGAGCTAGGATTTTGCTTGAGTGAACAGTTATGAATCGAACGAAATTGAAGATGTAAAAGAAACCTAATTTTTCCGAGTTTAAGATTAGCTAGCGAATTTTTCCAATTACCTTAAAGGTACAGTTCCATTCTACATTAGGAGTCTTGAACTTTCAGCACCACACTATATTGGAGCCTCCTCAAGCCAAATCGCGGCTCAAACCGCTTCGAAAACGAAAAAATCGCTTCGGCATAGCGGAGATGCACAAGGACCCCTACTCGGCACTGCCCACTCCAGTAATGCCCGCCCATCCTACCTGCCCAAGCAATCACCGTTCACCCCGACGAGCCTGCGGGTTCTCCCAGAAGGGCATTATGGGGGGGGGGTTCGCGGATTCTCGACTTCATATTCAGAATTAGGGGCATGAGAAGGCCCCGGAACGGCAAAAACATGGAAGTCGAGAATCTGGGTGGACGGCGGTTTTAATTACAAATCATGACAAAAAAGGCTGCAAAACTGTAATTTGAATTTTTTTCGTAGAGAGAAAAAAGCAGAAAAGTGAGTAAAGCAAGGCTAGTAAGAGTTGGTGAAAACATAGTTTTTCTAAGTGAAATTGACTGCTTGAATCCACAACTAGCCCAGCTGATGAGCATCTAAATTTTGAATCGAGATTACAACTCGTGAAGGGGGGAACGGCTATAAAAAGTGAATTTCTACTTATCAAGATAAAATGCAGAAATCCTGCTGTGAAAGGGAGCTATGGACAGATAAACACAGTTTTTCCACATAGATGCTTCTTTTCCAACATCTTCGCTTGTTCGTCTTGATTCGGCTAATTTCACATGCGCGTTGTCAATCGCATGCTGCGCTCTCGCCGCGTCGCGGCAGTTGTTAAGTCAAAAACGGGGCGTGAAAACTTCATTATCTATAATGACATCAGGAAAATCGCCGTGCTCACGTCGAGAGCTACGTGCGAGCTTTGGCGTCGTATTTCTCTTTGTTTTACTAAAATAAGGGGATTGTTTGAGTTTTTAATGGATATAAAAATTTGCAGCAAAGGTGGAAAAAATGAGAAAAGTGCACGAATATGGTAGCAAGGGCAGTTATTTGAAAAAAAAAACATCGTATTTCAGCATGGGAAAGGTGTGAGGAAAAACAAGC